GAGTGCAGGGATTCTGGGTGAAAAGCCAACAGGGTGCCATCAAAGAATAGCAAAACAGATGGATAAAATCTTGAATGGAGAGGAAGAACTGCCTGAATGGATGAAGGCAGAACAATGCTATGTCAGAAAGGTCCGACAGAGGGAAACGCCGTAGACAACTTTAGACCTATATCATGTTTACCGTTATTGTGGAAGCTCATGACTGGGATAATCGCAGAAAGCATGTATGCATTCTTAGAGAGCAACAACATTTTACCTAATGAACACAAAGGCTGCAAACGTGAAAGAAGATGAACTAAAGATCAGTTATTAATAGACAAAATGGTCCTGAAAGATTGTAAGAGAAGACACACCAATTTCGCTATGGCCTGAATCGATTATAGAAAGGCATACGACATGGTGCCACAATCATCGAGTGCTAAGAACTATTTGGTGTCACCAGGAAAGCGGAACAGTTTATTCGTCGGAGTATGCCTCACTTGAAAACGGAATTAATATATTGTGGAGGTTATGTCATGTTCACATTAGAAGAGGGATCTTTCTGGGTGATAGTTTGTCCCCTTTGCTGTTTGTGCTTTGTCTTATACCGTTAAGCCTGGTATTTAGGAATTTAAAAGCTGCATATGAGTTCAAAGATAAGCAACAGAGGATAAACTACCTACTATGTATGGACGACTTGCAACTTTATTGTAAAAGCGATTCTCAAATCGATTCTTTAGTGAAAACAGTACACTTGTTTAGCCAAGATGTTGGAATAGAGTTTTGTGTTAAAAAATGTGGTTTCTTAATCCTGAAGAGGGGGAACGTGGTAGACCATGAGGGAGTTATGCTGCCAGATGGTGGGTGAACTGATGAAGAATGTTGAAAATGATGGCTACAAGTACTTGGGGATCAGGGAAATCGGTGGAGTGATGGAAGACGAAATGAAGATAAAGTTTAGAAAGGAATTTCTAAAAAGACTAAGATTAGTATTGAAATCGAAGCTCAATTGAAGTAACAAGTTCCAAGCAATAAACACTTGGGCTGTAGTTTTGCTCAGATATGGAGCAGGTATCATTAAATGCAACAAGGAAGAATTACAAAACTTGGATAGAAAGTCAAGAAAATTATTGACGTTGCATTGTGCCTTCCATCCCAAAAGTGACATGAACAGACTCTTATATCATGTTACATTAATCTGAAAAGAAAATATTGAAATAGCTAAATTTGACTAAAGGTGATTTAAAATCTAAAAAGTAAGAATTTTCAATTGTGATTAAAAATAAATTAAGATTATAAAAGTAAGAATTGCGATATTACAAACTTGGCTAAAAATAAATTAGAATTAGAAGTTATGTTCTTCTCTTTCTGAATCAAACTAACAGCCCCTTTATTGCTTCAGTAAGAAAATATTCTTTAGATTTTGATGAGATTTCGGCTTTCGTTTTTGAAGTTCTTTGGTATCTTGTTAAAAATATCAGCTGTACTGTTCCTCAAAATTTTAGAATTGGTTAAAGTTGCAATTTGTGGTGCAGAGTTTGATCTCAGATGTCTACTGTTTTCTTTCAATGATATGTCAATGTATCCTGCCTAGTGATATGATATCCTTTTCTTCAATGTAACGCCCTAGAAACAACTTGCAGCTGCATTTTCCACCTTTTGTAGTCGTTTTTGTAGTTTCAATGAAAGCAAATGAAAAACGGCATTGACAATTTGGATAATATTAGCAACTTAGCAACTTGCTTTTCAAGTTTCAGTAGCATGATTTTTTTGAATTTTTCACTATGGCAAGAGCTCCAAAACAGGATGATGTTATCTTGTTTTCATGCTCTTCCCACAAAAGATGGCCTAAGAAAACACCAAGTAACTGTGTTTACTTTGCATGTTCAATTGATTGTTGTCCAATTTTTAGTGCGGGAGCAAAATTATTGAGATTGTGATGACGCGGTAGTTGCCTTGTGCTAAGAACAAACATGAGTGCATGGAATGAATGAAAAACAAAGTGTTATATATGTATATACGCTTACTTATTAAATAGACTCACCATTACAACTGTTAAAAAACTGAATTTCATATCCAGCTTTGCAATGACAGCCACCATACACCTTGGTTGAACCATTTGTATAACAAAACATGTAATTAGCTGCTTCTGAAACTTGGACATCAGCATTGCGAACACATGGTCCAAGCACCTTTCGGACTGAAACTGTACTATTTGGAGCTGCAGTTCTAGGTGGAAATGCCATTAATTCCCCAGCTGAGCTTGGACATGCAATGTAACTGAGATGAAATGAATCAAGGCTTCCACAGATTCCTTGATCTCTGAAAGCAATCAAAAGTCCAGTCCTTCCTTCCATTCCAATGGTAAAAACTGATTTAAACTGTACTCTAGATGAAGGATTCATTGACGAGGTATTTTTTAAAGCAGAAATGTACTTGAAGCTTTCAGCACTTGGCGCAGATATTTCACCTGAGCCCAAAAGGACATAGACACCAATGGACAATTTGGCTAAACAGCAATTCAAAGTATAAGTTATTCTGAGGGTTATTTGTTTGGCTGGATTTGTAGTGACAAATGGTGTTATAACGTAACTATCTACGAAACTATTATGTAATTCACAAGCAGTGAACCCGGTCTTATCTGTCTTCAGACTCCACTGAAAAAAAAGAAAAAAAAGAGTGTCAGATGATTTGGCGCCTGGTTTAAACTTATCACTTAGCATTAAAGAATAATGCACTTACTCGCAAAATATTTGTGCAATAGCCCAAGATTACACTAAACATTTTCAAGCAAAAAGACATCGGAAAGTAGATGGTCAAAGATACTGATGCAGATGAATGTAGGACAAAATGGCAGAAAAATTATATTTTAATGATAGCTTTTTATGTAAAGTGGTAGCTATTCACGTCATTCCTTAATCCCTAGATTTATCAACCCAAAAGGCCAACATTACAACAGCAACATGCCAGATAAACAAATTGGATTGCCAAACTGAAAAACGTTAAAAAATATAGAGAGCTTCAACAAGCTTCAAACGAACAATAATCAAAGATACATGCTATGCATCATACAAAGGGAAAAAAGTAATCAAGAGCATTTACAGACAGGAAGAGCACTTACGGTAAAGTTAGTTTCTAAATAAGTCTAAGTATCCTTGACTAAAAGTTCCAGCTGCTTATGAAAACAAAGCGTTATTAGAATTGGCAATCGCCACACATTTAGAAGATCAAATGTAAGGCTGTCGTGGGAAGATGATACCCTAATACACCCCTTAGGCCTTGAAAGATTCTTTACCAAGTAATTGTTAGATGGGCAATAGCCCTCATAAGCTCATTCATGAGGGCAGTTTTTCACTTGTGAAAATATTTTCACCAAACGTTCTGCCAACAATATTTATTAGGTTGCAAAAGAAGACCTAAATGGCTTTTCAAAGAAGGAAACAAAACTCATTAAAAATAAACACAATGTGAAAAGGCTAGCTAATGATAGTTTGTGGTAGAAAATGGATTTCTTTCTTAGCAGAGTTTGAGTTAAATTATCATTATCCTGTTCATATGAATGTTTTGTTTATTTGACAAAAAGGGCAGGACAGGCAGAAAGGGCACCTTGGGGTGTCAAAATTTGCTGATGAAACAGATCGAGATTGTTGTTTAGCCAATGACAAAGCCTGGTTGCAGGTGAAAGCCCTGTCAAGGGAGAGAGGGTCAGGTTCTGGGGGCAAAACCCTCAGGAAAATTTTGCGTTGCTACACTCCAAAGACTCTCAGATATGAAGGCAACACCTATAATGATATGTTTGAAACAAGACTACAGTCAAACTTCATTCTCAAAATTTCTTTCACCACAACATCAACAGTCAAGAGAGGCTGGACCGGTTTTACCTTACATTAAAACAAAACTTTGCTCTGATCACCATCTACACGGCTTGATATAAATTTTGTATATAACTCCTCTAAACATACTGTTTTTCTTTCTTCATTTAAAGTTAGTACAATCTGCAGCTATATTCAAGCTAAATAAAGCCAACTAATTCAAATTACCAACGCCAAATATAATTTGAATCAAATATAACTGATGTTGCATATATATAGATTTCTTATAAAGATCACAAGTATTGAACGATATAAATTCTGAGATATTTTCTTTAAACTCTGAGATTTTGTCAAGTTGGGAGTACTTATTTCATTTGGAACTTAATTGGAACTCAATCTGTTTGACAAAGATCTTGAGAGTAGAAGTAATCATATCATTCTATAATGTCAAAAAGGCTGTTACATAAAACCTGGCTACAATTATATAAGCCTCATTTTCTGGCTTTTTGTGTAGTGCTGCCAAGAGGTCTCAGAGGCCTTGCGGCATACTCAAAAGGGAGGCCCTATGTTAGGGCAGCAAGCAGAAAAATTATGGTGACCATGCCCTTTAGATTACCCTCCATTTAATTTCATTTCATTGCAGAATTTTTTGCAGTCACCTATTTGCAATCGTTTAAAACATTGCACAATTTTGTCTCAAAAATTGCTTTCACAAACTGGCAACCTTGAGAGGGCCCAAAATCTCAAGGGCCAATGTCAATTTTCCATCCCCACCTCCTTTCAGTAACCCTTGCTGTGAGCTGCTCAAACTAGAAAGAAGTCATCAAAAATATATACAATCTGAAAAGGCTTGCTAATGATAGTTTGTGGTAGAAAATGGATTTCTTTCTAAACAGAGTTTGAATTAAATTGTAATTATCCTTTTCATATGACTGTCTTGTTTTTTTGACAAAAGAATTAAGCAGAATTATGAAGAACTACTTTAAAAAGATTCTGTAACAAACTGCACAGCAGTTCAGAAAAGATTGGATTACAAATTTGATAAAAAAGATGAAATACTTTGCTAAAACCAAAAAGCAAACTGCTTTCAGCTTTATTTTTATGATGACTGAGAAATTTATGTTAATTAAATTTGGAACTAAAAAAGTATCAATTTTAACGGTTGGTTCGTTTGACCATAAAAATATAGTTTTAAATGTAACTAAACACGGTATGATTTATACCTTTCTACCGACACAGTTGAAAATGTCTACCTTTAAAATTTTTTGATGGTTTGTTGAAGTATTTGTGCAAAGAAAAGTGGGAGATCTAAAAATAACGTGTCATTGTGGCAGTTTATTACTTGTTGAGGCATTATCTTATCTTATGCTAACTGCAAAGAGATGGTTAATCTGATTCTGTTTGGATTGTCTGATAGGTTAGACTTTGAGGGTTAAAGCACTCTGCCTTTGAATAATGTTGTTGATCCTCACCCCGGGGGGCGGGGGAGGTACTTAATATATTTTGCTGACAGGATGCACGTCTTTCCTGGTATCATTTCCAGCAATTTATTTTAAGGCCAGGTGTCTGTTCAACTGATAAAATCTTAAGTCGGTTGGATAATTTGAGTACAAATGTACAAATGTGAGAACAAACTTCTGTTACAAAATTGTCAAAATTGTCATTTTTAACATGAGCCCCTATAAAGATCATATATGTATTTGCCTTATTATGTAAATATTCCAAGTTTCTTTTTAGTCTTCTACATTCTACATAAAACTTCTACATTATCATACTAGCTGTATTTATTGGAAGAATATGGAAAACCAGAAACTGGCCATCTTTCTTGATAATTTACTGTCAAGTGTGTATATAGTTATGTTTAAAGGATGATTTTTGAGACAGTCTTTGAGCATTTCTGTGAATTCCTGCCTTCATAAATTTATCTATACAGTAGAAATAAAGTTTTGAGTGAATACAAAAATTTTAAAGCCGGGTATCATTTTTAGCTTTTTTTTAAAGTCGGTTCACAAAAACTATCTTAGGAGTGCACATCCCTGTCGTTTTGGTAAGAATAAGAATAACCAGAAGGGTCACTCGGCGTTTTTGAGTGAAGCCTAAAGTTACTGGCGCATGCGTTAATTTACATGCTAATTCATGCTACAATAATGTCCTTTTTGTCAAAGAAAGCTTCCAAAACAGGCTGGGCCAATGATATAGAAGGACAATAAGTTTGTAGTTAATGGATAGGGAATCCCAAAACTTGCTTAACGATATTCTTCATTTTTTTGTTTTTTATCACATGCAATAACACTGTTTTCACACACAATTAAAGTCAAATTCTACTGAAAAAGCTCTACGGACTTTACTTGTAGCTGAAAGTACCTTTTTACTACTTATAGCTGTTTAAATAAAATGACCAGGGACAAGTCAAGCATGTTACTGATCTTGTTAGTTGAACAGTTTTATTTCTTATTATAACTTTTCGTGTATTTGAAAATTTACAAGATCAAATTATTTCATTTAAAAGCCTTGTTTGCTAGATTTAGTAAGGACAATCCAATCATGTGGATATTTACCACAAGTATATGTGGAAACATCAATGTTTTTGTTAAGCTGAACTTATTTTTCAAAGTTTTTTCTATTTAGTCTAACTTTGCAGAAAACATTTTGCAACTAGACCTATCCATTATTTTAGCTTCCTATATTTCATATCAATACTTACATTGCATATTCATTTGCCCATTTGTTTTATTCATCTATCAGTTCTATTTGGGTTGTTAGTTAATCGTGATGGCTTTAAAATACCTTCAATAGATTGATAATAAGACTATTTGTGGAAAAGATGACCAAAAAGCTCCCATTCAGTTTCATGTGATTTATTATTTCATCTACAAATTTTAGCTTATCTCTAAACCTTACAAATGTATTTCAGTCTTCAAATTGAAAGAAATTAGGAGAACAACACAATTTTTGATTTAAGCTAAGTTTATCTACTATACTAAACAAATGCTTTTTAATCTCTTTTGTACAGTTCTGTTTGGAAATTGTGGAAATTGAACTCTGTCTGTATAAATTACCAACAAACCAAAACAGTGTCACAGCTATAAGACACAAAGTTCATTTCATGGTATAACAAGATGATTGCTATATAATAAGAAAATCTCATTCCAAAGGTTCGTCAAAATTTTTTTTTTATAAGTTACAAGCTTTAAAATTAAAATTTCCAAAAGGAACTTATCAACTCAAAAATTGGGTGTAACAGAATTTGGCCACAAACATATTTATTCAAATTTGAGGAGAGGGCATGACAACTGCTAGCTACGCCACTGAGGTTGCCTCATGCGACTCACCACAATGCATTTCCGGAAGCATCATCAACTCGAGCAGCTGAGGTATTGTCAACAATACATAGTGATGTTTGTGGACCAACTGATGTGGAATCGATTGGAAAGTCAAAGTACTTCGTAACATTTATCGATGATGCGTCTCGGTATACCCACTTTTATTTCCTTAGGCAAAAAAAGAAGTGCTAGAAAAAATTCAAAGAATTTGTAGACTTAACAACCAATGAGACTGGGAATAAAGTCAAGATACTTTGTGCTGATAATGGTGATGAATATTGCTCCAAAGAATTCATAGAATACATGAGAGAAAAAGGAATTCTACATCAAACAACAACTCCAATGAGTCCAGAGCAAAATGGTGTTGCAGAGCGCATGAATAGGACAATTGTGGAGACAGCTCACTCTTTGTTACGTCATGCTAAATTACCAACTTCATTTTGGGCAGAAGCAGTTAGCACAGCTGTATTCTTGAGAAACTGCAGCCCTATTAAGTTTGATGATGAAATTAATCCAGACGTTGATGGAAATGTTATAGAAGAAGTGGAGTGATGAAGTCAACCACAATATCTTGCCAGTGGGAGCAACATATGAGGAGAACTTTATAAGAAGCTACAAACTTGCAAGGTGCAAGAACACATTCTTCTGCTAAGCTGGCTGAGCAAGTCAATGAAGAAAATGAAAACTGTTTCAGTGCTGAAATTATAGCAGATGAAATTGATGATCCAGGATGCATGGACTGGAGAACATGCTAGTGAATGGAAAAAAGCTACTGATGCAGAATACTTATCATTAATCAAAAACAAAACATGGGACTTAGTTCCAATTCCAAAAGGAAATAAAATTGTTGGGAAAGGGGGTATTCAAAGTTAAGAGGAATGCAGATGGCTCTGTTGACCACTTTAAGTCTCGTTTAGTAGCTCAAGGGTACTCACAAGCTGAAGGAATTGATTACCAAGAGGTATTTTCAGCTGTCATTTGATACTCTTCAATATTTTCAATACTTGCATTGGCAAACAAGAACAATTTAGAAATACATCAAATGGATGTAAAAACAGCATTTCTTCAGGGTAATTTGGACAGTGAAACCTACATGGAGCAGCCTGAGGGTTATGTTAATGCTGATAAACCATAATGAAAGGACTGTTTATTATTTGCTATGTTACATATTTTGTTTGGCTTAATATATAAATATACATTCGTCAAGTGGGAGGGACAAGACATTTACTATTATCATGTTTGGCTCATAGTATCATTGATTGACACTTTAAGTTAAGCCTTGCTTAGTCATGCTGCGACCACGTTTTTAGTACTCTTTTATGCTGAATACGTAATGTGGCCTAGTATTATATCCTGATCATACAAGTTGTTTTGTTATGTTCGTTCAACCATAGTTTATCTTTCAAGATACTCTCTGTGGCATATTAATAGAAACATTCTAGAGTGACCCATCTGGTTATTCTTATTCTATGATCAGACCAATGGTAGAGGTTATGAGGAAAGCTACCATTACAATTTCCACACGTCCTGAAATATTTAAGTGTAGATTTCATGGTGATTTGTTTAAACTTACATTATTGCGAACTGAAGCATCAGTGCCATTTCTGACTTTCCTCCAAAGTTCATTCTTAGGCAATGAAACAGGAACTGAAAAGAAATGACAGTCTATAAATAAAAAAGCATAAATCATGATGATAGAAAAATACAATATTATGTCACTGATACACAAGCTCAAAATGAAACTCAGACAATTCTTAAATAATTGGTATCAATTCTATCTTTCTTTTTTCTTAGACCTAGCAATTGATTTTTGAATGCTCTGAGCATGTGCAACTTTCTAAAAAAAATTGCAAAACATTGGGCAATTACTGGGCACAACATGAGATGCAAACCTAGTTACTTGATCACTCAAAATTAATTCAGGCTCCAATTCTAAGCTTTACTTTGAAAGAAGGCTGTTTCACTAAAGTTGGGAGTTTATCAAATTAATTGTAACTTTTGGGATGATATAACTCACATAAAAATAGGACAACAAACAAGAATGCTGACGTAAATAAACAGGTATTAATCAAATTGAGGTGGGAAAATCAATTCAAAGCATTTTCATCTTCCAGAAGAGAATTCATCTTCCAGGGGTTTTTAAATAACAAGATTAATCTTTTAAATCTTTCAGCAATAATAAGTATATATACAAGAAATTTTATACTGAGATCAAAAGATGATGTACATAACGTTCTTATCAACGACAACATTTGAAGCTAAACATATTTTTAGTTTTCTTCATAAATGGGGCAACTTGCTGATACAAACAGACTAAAAGATTTCCAAATTCTTTATAAAGACATTCCCTCTTAAAGACCTTAAAAAGACAAGACAAACCAAATAAATAAAACATTTGCAATAAAAGCAATGTTGTATTTGGCAACAACACAATAACTGCGCACCTTCTATTCCATTGGTAACATTCACAATACAACTCAGGGTTAACAGGACTAGGCCCAAAATGGGATGCCAATTCCATTTTATATCCATGACAGTGAAGCAGCAGTTAGTTCGATGCCACAAATATTGGCGAGCTTACAAATGATACTTTACTACATAACAATCTCTGCTTTGCAAACTGTCAATTAGCAGATCTCGAGTTGGTCCAAGATAAATACTTAACTTCCATTCACACCAGTCTTTCTCATGGACCCAGCTGCGAATAAGTTGAACGAAAAAGGCAGCACCAAAATAAATGGCCTGCTCGTAACAATCAGTCAACGATTCGTGTAAAAACAATCTCATGAGCAGATTCTCGATTTAGGCCGCAGTGATAGACTAATGCATCGAAATCATAACAGTTAAGTTTGTATAACGGTCAACCAAGCCACAAACGGTAAACCTCTTGTCTTTTTTCAATACAAAATACACACAAGTCTATGAAGTTATTACTATTAAATGTTATTATATTTGCAATACGCGCCCGTTTCTCGACACCATTGAGCAGTCATCTCATTTCCATCCACTTCCTCGTAAAACTTTGTTACGGGATTTCGTGAAAATAACATCAAGTAACACAATATTGGTGATTGTAAAAGAAGCATTTCCGTGTAATTGAATTGGGGTGTAATTTTATTCATATCATATCATGCATTTTAAAACTTTCGAAATTGGTTCAGAAGTAAGTCTATAATAATGGACGGTAGGAATTAAGCGTATGCAATTTCAATGATAACACTTCCCATAAATATGAGTTGTTTACTTGTTTCATCCATCAATTCTAGGTAATTTAGTCACCCATAAAATAATTTTTATAAACAAGTAAAATAAAGCCTTCGTCGTATTCTATGAAAATAGCCACAGAGAACAACTCTTATAAAAAAAATCAGGCTGAGATTTGCCTGAAAATTAAGGACACCATAACAAACAAGGCAAGCTGAAATTCAACAAAACACAAGAGATAGGCTAAATTTATATGAACAAGTAAGAAGCACCAGGTGTTCTGGAGCCAAGTGTTCTTATAAAAAAGTGTATACACATATTTTCATAAGAATACTATAAACATTTTCCAGCCTCGATAATCTTAAGAAATGTTCGTTTTTAGCCTGAACAAATTTTCAAAGTATTATTTTTTCAAATCTGATTTGGTTTCAGGGTAACATCGCTCATACCCGCATAGAAACCACGGTTTATGAAGAAAATGAGATATGCCAGTCATGCAATTCTTTGTCATCAACATCACAAAACAAGCAGCTGAAGAATGAAGGACAAAAATGGGAGCCGAGATTGAGCAATATTTTTATGATATTCTAAAAAATTGTATGATTCTGAACCCTAATATTCTTATAAACAATATTCTAACATAAGGAAAAGAATGTAGCCAGAAAGAACACAACCGAATCACCGAGTAGTACGACATTTAATTCTACTTGATTTGATATAAAAATAAAAATGTAATAGTATTATCATACTAACAAGTGGCGAAAATCAGTTAAATCAGATATGGCACGTGAAAAATATGACATTTAGTATAAAATTCTTATTATTTTGAACCGATACCGAACTGCAGGAAGTACAAGGAATGTTTTTTAACAGTATTTGCAATATATCCCTTACCAATCCAATATAACAGTTGAAATATCGGACTAAGAAAGAAAAAGTCCAAGAAGCATTACATTAACAATAGGTATATGCTCATAAAAAGACTCTACAGAAAAAGCAGGGGTGCCGTGAAGGGGGACTCTTGGGGCTCAGCCCTCTCTTCGCAAGCCAGTTTTTGTTTAGTTGGAGGAATTCTTTACTTGGAAATTTTAACTATGCTCTTGACTTTCCGTGAATAAGGAATTTCCTATAAGTAGTTCTACGTCAGTTAACAATTTGAATGGTTTCATATACACAATGGAGAAACTTTAATACAAACACACGGTATGTGTGGTTTTGGGCGTGGCCTGTACAGCAAAGCCCCCTTCCAACGTACGGCCTGTACAACAAAGGACACCCCCCTGTAAAGGTAGAGGCGGTAAAATGTACTTCAAACCCTTGAATGAGTTACATTTCTTTTGGCTTTTAGAATGTTGGTCACCCCACCCCTTAAATTTTCTGCCATGAGATTAAAACCTGTTATGAAAATCAGATAAGAGACATGATCAACTCTTTTGTAAGATGTAAACAGATCAGAAAAAATATCTAGCTTACAAATTTCAAATGTGGGGTACCTATTAGCTTAATACTGTATTTTTAGCCTCTTTAATTCAGCATCTGCATATTTTTGTTAAAGGTGAAAGTTTTCAGAGGTCTCTTAATGCGCCCACCAGCTAATGTTCCATTACACCCAATTTTGATAAAGTAGTGTCAAATTTTACTATTACCCTTTTCGTTAAAATTTATTTTAGAGATGTTTCTGGAGAGTAAATTTTTTTGTTTAATTTCTTGTACTTATATATTATCAGTTCTAATGAAAAAGTGAGCAAAGCTATAAAGGTCTTTCAACTATAAAAATGGGTTGAGAACTATCGAAAAGAGAGCAACGGTCCTAAACTCAAGAAATTTCCTTTTTCACGTTTTCTTAAATTGGTTTGTCGGCGATTCTCATTAATTCTTTAAAGATACTGATTTTTTGACAAAATCAGTATTTTTGAAATCAGGATTTTCAAATTTAAAGAACAAACGGAAATAAAAATTTTCTTCTAAAAACAAAAGAATGCCAAAGATTTTTGGAAATTTGGGACGTGAAATTTTTGGAAAAAAACTTCTTTCCTTGAAGTAAGCTAAAATGCCCTAATTTAGGATCCTAACATCACTTGAGATGTTTTGAATAAATTCCAAGCTCATATTTTAAATAAACATACTAGTCATTTTTCAACAAAACTAGCACATCGTGGACTCCAATATTAACATATTTTTGGCAAAGAGTGCAAAGAGCTTTCGGATGTCAAATGCATTTACTCTAGTATTTGGTAAAGCATGAAAAATGTAGGGCGCTCTTCAGAAGTAGGTAAGGGGTACTTGTCGACAAATATGAGAGATGCAAATATAAACCTAACCATTGTTTCCGAAAAATTGGTGGGTTTGTGTCCCAGTCCCCTGAATCTCCTGAATTACACATATAAGACCCCTATGCGCGCACATAGAAAACATCTAGACCAATATTTACGTATGTTTGTCAGTGGCATCCCCCCCCCTTCACCAGATACAAAGGTTACTGTAGCATCCAATCTAGTAAGTATCGCATAACGAAAATGATTTACTTCATCTTCAAGTTTAATGGCTTTGTTGAATATTGAAAGGAGATACATTGTAACGTACCGCCGTAACACAGCCGATTCCTCGAGTTTCAGCAACTCCGGACTGCGGATCCACTTATCAATCGTGCCACGAATGTCCTTAAATTTGGGTCTTCTAACGCGATCTTTGTGCCAGCAAGATAACATAAGATCGTGCACAACTTTAGGGCAGCTCTGCAAGAGATATTCAATCGTAAGCAGCTGCTTTTTAAGTATTCACTTGAGTAAAAACAGCAATAGTTGCGTTGATGAGCTCAAAGACATTAAACAGAATGTCTTTGGTTATTAAAGATCTGGGGCCAATGTGAGTTTAGGTAAGGAGGGAGGGGCTAGGAAGAGAGGGAGTCTGGGAAGCAAGGAGAGAGTAAAGCGTTTCAAAGATTACTTCGAAATATCTATGTATTAGTATACCTTTAAAGTGCTGAAAATCAATAAGACCTCCACCCCCCCCCCATATATTTTGGAGTAAGAAAAAAGCAAATTTCTGCGAGAAGGATCTCAAATCCCTAGGTTCTTACACGCGGGTTTTTATTCTACCGTGATCAAACAAGCTTGAGAGAATCAAACACTGCCGTAAGGTTAGGATACAGAAGACAGTAAACAGGCAAACGAGCTGTATCCAAAGGTAGCGTTGCATTCGCGAACATACCATTACCAGAATGGGAGAACTATTAAAAATCAATGATTTGGATAACAAATGAAAGTTCATTGCACATGATGAGAACATATGAAGAAAAAACAAAATTATTGGTACGGATGCATGTATTTTCAGCAATCTAGGGTATGGATGCATTATCAGCAAGTTGATTTATTTTTCCAATTAAAATGTGTAGCCCAAGAAAGCAAGTTACATCAATTATTGCCAACAGCTTTGTTTACTGTTTTTTAACCCTTCTGCGATAGAAGAAGAAAAATGTCTGTAGAATAGGCCATCAGTAGGCCATCAGTAGGCCATCAGTAGGCCATCAACAGGCCATCAGTAGGCCATCAGTAGGCCATCAGTAAGCCATCAGTAGGCCATCAGTAGGTCATCAGTAGGCCATCAGAAGGCCATCAGTAGGCCATCAGAAGGCCATGAGTAGGCCATGAGTAGGCCAAGAGTAGGCCATCAGTAGGCCACGAGAAGGCCATGAGTAGGCCATGAGTAGGCCCGCAGATTTTGCTTTTGTTGGAAAATCTTTAGATCAAAAATGCTGTTGCAAGGAAGTCTATGGATCAGGAAAACTCAACTGCTTTTACGTCGGCATTGTAGTACCCCGATATAGATTTTAAGGTTTAAAGCAGATAAAGCTCGCAAACATAAGCAACGAAAATAACAAGGAACAGACAATGTTTAACCTAGGTGTAGCCTCGATATGAAAAGAACAGACCATGGCATATTTGTCATATCTTGTGTAATTTATCAAGGAAAGGCTATGAAAAGCTGTAGTGAAGATCTATGAAATCTAGAGACTTTTAAACGTAAAACATACCATGGCGGAGGGAGTCTGAAGCCAGAAGTCAGACGTTCAAGTACCTAAAAAAAGAACTAAGGCTTAAATCGAGATTTCAGTTCAGAAAAGAATGCGCCAACAGTCTCATAAAGAAATTAAATATTCATCCTTCCTTTATTGTACACATATTCTTTGTTTTTAGACGTTGTTTTTTTAAAGTATACTGCTTAACTTTAAGTTTTCTCCAACTGTTTGATTTACGTCTGTTTAATTGCTAAATCTTTCGCACTGGTCTTTTTCTTATTTGTATTCACAAAAGTTTAAAAAACCTCTTCTGCTTGATTCATCTTTAAAGAAAAACATAACACAGAAACACAAACAACATTCCCGCTACCATTATAGAAAATAGGCTTAAAGAGTTTAAAAGCTTAGGATCTTGGTGACCAAGTAAGGAAATAACGAAAGGACCCTAACTTCCATTATCGGGTTTAGAATAGTGACTTAAAAGTCATCGCAATAGAGTTCTGAAGTGATGACGTCACAAAAATCTTTTTTTAAGAATTTTTGAATTTTGATTCAATAACCTGAAAGATCATCATGAAATACCTCTAAATGTGCAAAATCAGGCAAATGTATTACGAAATGGCAGAGATATGGCCACATGTTTACTGGTTCTCTCCTCATCAAACCTCTGTATTTTGGTCTCTGTTCATAACTTCATGAACAGAGCCAAAATAACAGTGAATCCTTAGCAAATCTCAAATCTTTCATTAGCCATATCTCAACCGATTTTAGACATATCTGGCCAATTTTGCATATTTGGAAGTATTTCATGGTGATCTTTTACGCTATGTGGTTAAAATTCAAAAATTCTAAAAATAAGTTTTTGATGACGTCACACTTCAGAACTCTATACCCAATTTTTATCATTATCGTTACAAGCATTTCCCTAACGATGGAAAAGTATAAAGTAAATTTCCCTTACGAATATACCTCATTATTGCCCCAGTTCCAATATGGCCTTTCTCCGTAACACATTACCTCCCAAAGCAGGATTCTATAACTCCAAACATCCGAAGCAATAGTGAATTTCTTTAGTTGGACTGCTTCTGGTGCTGTCCATTTGACAGGGATCTTACCACCCTGTAAAAAATAATTAAGTTGAAGTATATCAACAATGATTTCATTTACCAGCTTTAGGGCCTGCGCCACCGATTCTAAAATGGGGAGCCACAAAAGGAGGATTTTATACCTATTTAATACCCAACAGGAGGATTTGACACCTATAGTTAGCAAATAAAAATGGGGGGGGCATTGCCCCCTGCCTCCCCCTGTGGCGTGGGCCCTGAGCTTAGATCTATAGCGATATTCTATTTAAACAAAAAAGGTTTAGAATGAATGGTAGCAGAGTGGTTTGAGTTGCAAAGGTTAGTCACATGATTAGTGGAACCTGACAACAAAAGCCATGCATAGCCATAGACCTACAATCCCGAACAAAAATGTTGAGACAAAATGCAATTTTCGTAATTGTTTACTTTACCTTGCCCCTGTAAATTCGAATCCCCCTTTTCCCCCGAAGCAATGTTGGATTTATAGTTCTTTCATTTTTGCTTCACAATCATGCACTCAACATTGAATTGGGGGAGGGGAAAAGTGAGAATATAAGCTTTCCTTGAAAAGTCTCAACCATTTATTGGTTGCTTTGAAGGGAAAAGAGATTGTCAAAATTCGACGATTTTGGCAAGCCTGTAGCTTTACTTTTTTTGTCAAATTGGGGGATGTAAACAAAGGCAATTTTTTGGAAAACTAGCTTCCGTGAGTGGGATACATTGTGAAAAACAGGTATTTATTACACGAGAAGTTGTGCTGCTTTGAGCTGGAAAACTTCTGTGAATAATTAATGCTTTTGGCAAGTCTATAATCTACTTTTTTGTGAAAATCTAGACAGAAAAAAAAGGGAATAACATTAAAACATAAAAGAAAAAACTACGTTCCATGGCCAAGGTACAAAACCAAAACCTGGCAAATGTTTATATATGGGGAAATTCTGTCAAAAATTGATTATTTTTGGAAGCCTATACGTTTCTTTCTTGTGGAAATAGAGTCACTGAAACAGGAAAATTTTATTAGGAAAACAAGATTCAATAATAAGGCTGGATACATAGTTAAGTTCTGTTAAGATAATGGGCTTGATTTTTAGCTAAAAAATCACTGGAAAAATTTACAACTTTGGAAAACCTGTAACTGTACTTTTTTCAAAATTGGGTCACTCAAAAAAGAAAAATTTCTTATGGAAAAAACTTTCTATGAACAAAATTTAATTACTATTTAATTACTTAAAAACTATTGCAGATAAAAATTACTTTAAGAGTTTATTTAGATGAGAAAATTCTGATGTTTCAGAAAAAATGAAAATATCAAAACTTTGTTACTTATGGTGGTAATTCTAAGATATACTGTTTCAGCCTTAAACATATACATAAAAATGTATAAGAACAGGAAAATAGATGATACGTATGACGTCAATGCGAACAGTTTAGATGAAAAACGGGCTATGCTCGAAACGTCGTTAATTATTTTAAAAAATTTTTTCCGGGTACAATTTACTTTAAAATTCATTGATCGTTAGTTTAGATGAAAGCCTTTTATGTGAGAGTGGGTTTGTTAAGTGAGGCAACGAAGTTTGAAAAGTTTGGCAAATAAGTCAACGAAATAGGACATCTAGACACCACTACATCAGCACGCTTTAAGTAGCATCTCCAAGACCTACGTATCGGTAAAATCGCGGACTTCAGATCTGTTTAGAAAACCCTTTTATTATTCCGCTTCTGCCAGGCTGGATACAGCCTGAGTTCGAATTTAATACTACACGTACGACATTTTACCGTACGACACTTATTCACGTATAACGGCTATTTTCTCTCGGACATTCAAGAAACTATTCAGCTGGATTTCGTTATCAAATAGTTATTTATCTGTAATTATCATTATATACGGTTTAAAAAATGGTTTCGACTAGTAAAAGATGTTCACAAGAAAGATTAAAAATCAGGAATATCTTAATAAACAAAATAGCTTCATGTCAAAAAGTAACGGATATAAAAACTCCTAAATTCATACCTAATGCACTTGGGCATTTGTTCATCACTGTTTCAAAACCATCTAAGATATACCAGAATGCAACTATGCACATATTAAGTGGCAAATGCTAAGGCTTCAAAATTAAAAGGTTCTATGCAAAAATGCTTTTGTAGGTTCTTTATAATAATAAGATGCAACTGATTTCTAAAGTTCGTTTTATCAATTCTTGAACAAGGCAACGCCAACATCTTTTACCTCTCATTTCATAAAAGATTTTGTGATTTTAAAATATTTAGACATTAAACCTAGAAGCCTTTTTTGCTAAGATCGATAACTGTTACTAATCGGTGACTAAAAATGAATCTACCTTACGGAAACCTTAATCTTAACTGCAATAAGAAAATTAATTTGAAAAATACACTGTACATACAGATCGCAAGAATTTTGATACTACTTTTGGAAAGACAATTCAGCTATTAATGTGAGTTGTGCTATATCCAATAAGTGTCTGTTTATGTTGGCAGGAGGAGAGAGAGATGTTAATGTCCCTTGGCTACGATCGAATGTTTTTATGCAGTGAGAAAGGTCTTAAAAGCGTAGGGTCGTATGTCCCTTGATACTTACACAGAGGACAAAAGGGCTGAACCTTGAAAATGAAGACCACACAATGAACAACACCAACAAAAATACGTGTCTAAATATTTGCAGAAAGTCTTTAACCAAGAAGGTGAGCTGTATCGCAGCTTAAATAGGGAGATGAGTCACTTATATGAAATAATTCAGTGTATAACAAGTCAAATTTCACTGTATGACGCCGCAAGGTGACCTTGAATAAGGATTTCTACTCAATACAGGTCAGTACCTTCTTGTTAAAGACATTGAGTCATGGCAAAAAGGCCTTCTACATAGGGGTTCATTTGGTTTCGGCGTGATCGCTGCTGTTTCATGTGATATTGGCATCCGTTAATGACAACTTGCTATTGGTGGAAACTGTTTTGTTAATCAGTACGAGGTGAGTTCATGTGACCAGTTTAAGGTCAACCAATAGCATCGCAGTCATAAAAATCGTGAATCAGCGGATTTGGCACTTTGGGTATACCCAATCGAATTTATCATGACTCAATGCCTTTAAATAAAACATTCAACCTATGCACAACAACTTATGGAAGAAAACCACAACAACAGCTTACAAGACAACTTGGAATGTCTTCTATGGTGCAGAATGCTCTACCTACGTTCTCCAAAAAATTCAATACTTCTAATATAAAAACGTCACATCAAAAATGTCTTTCGTAGAAATGCATCTTTACAATCAAGGGCAATACATAAACAAGTCGAACTAGATAGTCCTCGAAAATTGGTCAAATACTTATTATGACATCATGACAAACTACTGTCACAGACATTAGAGTGATGTAATGAAGTTTTTGATGTAATTTCTAATAAAAGCAACTTGCCTCACAGCGCTTAGATTGCCATGGATTTTGTTCTAATCAACTGGCCTTTCGTCAAATTTATGTTCTTCATAATTTTGTTTCGGTGGCCAACAGCTTCAATTCCTATATCTTTCAGATCTGGATCCGTGAGCTCTAAGATCTGGCGGGGTGTGACTAGGCCCTTTTCAGTGAAGTTCTCGATGTATCGTGACATCCCAATCGAATCAAGCCATTCTTTTAAGGTCTTCATTGACGCGTAATCCAAATTAGTGTCACTATGATAGATAAACAAGGAGAAGTAATAGATAGAGTATGAAGGCAGCCTCCTTTATATTCCTAAGAAAGATTGTAACTGACATATTAATTAGACCCTAATATCAATCTATTTTAGGTAAGTAGTGCAAAGAGCTTTTTGATATCAAATACATTTATTCTAGTATTTGGTAACTCATATAAAGATATAGGGCGCTTTTCGAAGTGGGGAAGGGACACAGGTCAGCGAAAACGGGACCCATTCGAGAAATACAAATAAGATCTTAACCACTGTTTCTGAAAAATGGGTGGGTATATGCCCCAGTACCCCCCCCCCCCCCCTTTCGACTTCTTCCTCTGCTACTACATTAAAGACCTCCTAAGCTCGCACGTAGAAAATTCCAGGAGAGGGAATCCCAAGGGGTTAAATGTGCGACTAAATATGCATGATACCCTTGTTTAGACGTTCATTGCAACAGCTGTGTCCAGGAATGCTTGAAGTACTGATGAATGAAACTTCGTGGGCAACACAACTTTATTCGAAGCTAACACAGCGTCTCAAATGTATTCCGGTATGAATATGGCTGTCACTGGGACTCCCTCTCTTCTTCAGAGACAAAAGTTGTATCGCATTAACCAAAATGATTCCTTTAACTTCATATTCAAGTTTAATAGTTTTCTTGTATTGTGAAAGAAGATATATTGCAACATACCGCCTTGTCACAACCGATTCCTCGTGTTTCAACAACTCGGGACTCCGGATCCACTTATCAATCGTGCCACGAATGTCCTTAAATTTTGGTCTTTTAACGCGATCTTTGTGCCAGCAAGATAACATAAGATCGTGCACAACTTTAGGGCAGCTCTGCAAGAGATTGTCAATCGTAAACAGCTGCTTTTAAGACTTAGATAAGAAACAGCAAAAGTTGCGTTGATAAACACAAAAATAGTAAACATAATTTTTTTGGTTATGTAATGTCTGGGGCCAATAGCAAAGCTATGACAAGAGGAAGGAGGGAGGCATTGAAAAGAGGTCTGAGGCCAATGTAAGTTCATGTAAGGAGGAAGGGGGTAAGAAGAGAAGGATGTGAAATCAAGCATGTAGATTATAACCTTTAGAAAAATGAAAGTCTGAAATTGTGGGAAGCAAGAAGAGAGAAAAGCATTTCAAAGGTTACAAACTGTGAGAAGAAAAAAGGGCTTCGTAGAGCAAGCTAGCGTATTGTACTGTGACCAAGCAAACTTGACCGAATCAAACCCTGCGTAGAATTAGAATACACAGGACTGTAATATATGCAAACGAGACGCATCTGAAGGAAGAGTTGCATTTGCAAACATATCATTACCAGTGAAGGCAGAATGGGATATCTATTTAATATCTATGAGATATCTAATATAATACTTTATGCACATGATCAGAAAATATGAAACTAGGGCAATGGGAATCTGAAAGACAGGTAAGCCTAAAGAAAAATTATTCGTACGAAATTTAGGGTATGGTTGCATTTTGAGCAAGTTAATTTATTTTTTGAATCAAAATACATAACCCAACAGAGCATGTGACATCTATGATTGCCATCAGCTTTTTAACTAAGAGTACAACAGCAAAAAGACCCCTCTGCGATAGAAGTTGTTGCAAGGAAGTCTATGGATCAGGAAAACTCAACTGCTTTTACGTCGGCATTGTAGCACCTCGATAAAGATTTCAAGGTTTAAAGCAGATAAAGCTCACAAATATAAGCGACGAAAAAAACAAGGAACAGACAATGTTTAAGGTAGGTGTAGCCTCGATATGAAAGAACAGAGCATGACATATTTGACATATCTTGTGTAATTGATCTAAAACAAGGATATAGTAAAAATCTATGAAATCTAGAGACTTTTAAACCTAAAACATACCATTGGTGGAGGAAGTCTGTAGCCAGAAGCAAGACGTTCAAGCACCTAAAAAAGAACCAAGGCTCAAGTTGATTCCTACGCGTCACAGCTCAGGAGAGAATGCACCAACAGTCACAAAACAGTTGAAGAAGATGAAGCCCCGTATGTAAGAGACAAATATTCTCCCTTCTTAGGCGTTGTTTCTTAAAGTATCCTGTGTAACTATATGTTTGTCCCCAACAGATTGATTTACGTCTGTTTACTCTGATTTACGTCTGCTAAAATTCCGTAGAGAATTCGACAAACTTTTCGTACTTGTCCTCTCCTTATTTGTAATCACAAAAGTTCATTTTATTATCTTTTTTTTTCCACGAACATAACGTGAAACTTTTTAAAAAATCTCCTCTGCTTGATTCTTTTAAAAGAAGTACACAAGATGGTTGCCAAAACTTTTGAACATTGGAAAACAATGTCCTACTAAATATTCTCATGTATTCAACCTTGCAACAATATAAGGCCCAGATCATGTTTCAAGGAATAGTCGACGCCGCAGGTAAGTCAAGATGACTCTAAATCTTCTAGAATTAGCATATTTTAAGTTTTGATAAGCAAGGTAATGGATGTGAATTTCAAAAACAGACAGAAACAATACCCCTCCATACCCCCTCCCCCCCCCCATTTAGAAAATAAATCTATAGATCTCAATCCCGAGATAGCTTCTTGATCAAATAAAAAGGGTTAAGCAATCATTTTCTGAATAACGAGTTAACGAAATAGCCCTGACTTTTTCTTCAGGTGTAGAGTATTGATTTGAAATCGCAATATATCAACTTTTGTTAAAACCATTGCCCAGGCGGAAGATAGGTAGAAAGGAAGTAAAAACCATTTTCCTGTTGGTGAATAGGTATGTTAAAAAGATACGTGAATATACCTCATAATTGCCCCAGTCCCAATATGGCCTTTCTCCGTATGACATTATCTCCCAAAGCAGGATACCATAACTCCAAACATCCGAGGCAATGGTGAATTTCTTAAACTGGATTGCTTCCGGTGCTGTCCATCGAACAGGGATCTTGCCACCCTGTAAAAAGTTAAGTTAAAATATATCATAAAGGATCTCATCTACCAGCTTCGAACTATAGTGAAATTGTTTTTAGACGAAAAAGGTTTAGAATGAATGGTAGCAGAGTAGATTCAGTTGCAACGATGAGTCACATGGTTAATGGAACCTGACAACAACAACCATGCATAGATGTCGCCCAACTAAAAATGGCCAATTGCTTACAGGTAAAATTTTTACATCTCCTCTTACTGGCCAACATATGAAGTCCAATTTCACATTTAGTAGTATCCTGAAGAACTTCAATTCTGTTATGTGTCTGCCACAAAAGTTAAATAGTGATTGATAAAAGAGATAAAATATTTTTTCAATAAATACATGCTCAGAAACATACTTTGAATTTGATATGTAATATATCTCAGTACATGTACGAGATTAAAATATACATTGACCTACAGATAATTGCACTGCTCCAGTATGACATCTTTTGAAGGAGCAGCAAATATGATAAGGTAATCTGATATGAATTTAGTGTAATTCAAAGACATTTGTATGTCATCTGTTAATAGGATAAAAATCTTCTTGATTTTTAAGGGTTAATGAAACATTTAATTACCGTTGTGTTATATGTATCTTCCTCGCTCAATTCTCTGCTCATTCCAAAATCAGCAACCTTGCAAACCATGTCATCATTTACTAAAATATTCCTGGCTGCCAAATCCTGAAATAATAAACATAAGTTAAATTAAGTCTTAAGTATTTTAACAGGGCAATATTTAAGGACTACCATTATGCTCTCACTGTCCAAATTTAAAAAATGCCATTGTTGAAAAAGTAATTTTTTCCAGATGAATACATGATAAAATTAAACGCAGCTGTATTTGCTATTCCATTGCAATTGCTAAAATTATTTCATATTTGCCAGTAATCAAATCTAAATAGTCTACTTGCATTTTTTAGTAAAAGAACCAATCTGAACTCCTTACATGCATTCAAGAGCGCATTCCAGTCATCTCTAAACGCTCTAGGCTCAATCTCAGCCTTAGGCAAACAACATACACACAATGAAAAATTGAGCTAAAGCAAAACATTTATTAAGTCCTGCTATGATAAATAACAGCGGATAACCTGCTAAATAAACTCAGGGGACATGAAATGGCTGAAGGTCGCAGTCTATTAACCAGCTGTGGGCAAAATTACTTTGAACATAACCATCCCATACTACACAATTTATTTCTGCAATAATATATGAGAGAAAATTTTGCTGATTGAATCTCAATTTTTAAAAGGCAGTACACGGTTATCTTTCACGACGCTTTCGATTGAAGATACCCTGTGGATGTAGCCAACACCTACCCTGTGGATGTAGCTCATTTCAGAAAGATACTTCATTCCAGACGCCACACCCCGGGCCATTCCTAGTAACTGGAGTGGAGTAAATTTACCATCGTTTTCCTGCGGAAATATAGAAGGTTCTGTTACATTTCATCAGATTGAGAGACTCAATTAGCCACAAAAGACATAGAGTAGTGAAAGATAGGACGAACATATTTCATACAAAGTTAAAATTGACTAACATTTCGACCCGGCATGCAATGCTTCTTCAGATGCCTAAATCTTCGCTATGCATGTATTCTTAGAAAAAATGTAAAACAAATAAAAAATGAAGCGATGATAGTTGTTAGTGAATGGTTGTCGGTCAATAATTGACATTTCAATCTACAAATTAGTTTAACTACATACTCAATAACTAGTTTTTGCAACAATTTGAAGAAGTAAATTGAAATTTAGCATACTTGTAGAAAGGAGTCAAGCGATCCATTGCTCATGAATTCGATGACAATCAATATGGGACGGTCTAAAAAGAAGTGTGAAAAATTTGTAAGCATTGGCAGACAAACAGGGAGACGACGTAATATATGTGTTCCGGAACGACGGCATGCATACTCACAAACAAAGCAATCTGCAAATCTATCAGAAAATCTGCAAAAGATATGCCTTCATAGCAAATAAATTTATATACCTTTAACGACCACACCCTCGAGATTTATGACATTTGGGTCATCAAATTGTCCCATATACATTGCCTCTCCCAAAAAGTCATCTCTTGCTTTCTTATTTGCATTTGACTACAAAAAGGTAGAAAACAAAAACGTCAGTTTTTGCTAATGGAAAACACCCAGAAAGACAGCTGCTTTTTCTAAAAAAATTGATCCATAAATTTTCTTACACATTCGGGAGGGTTTTCTAGGAGGATCGAGGTTAATTTGCGGCGTTTCCGACCCCCCCCCCCCGGAGAACAAGAAAATGGCACCATTAGGCCAAATGGCACCCCACATTATTACTGAAATGTCCCCCTTTATCTTGGAATTGGTTGTAAGGAATTTTGACTGTTTTCCTCTGGTTGTTTCCAGACTCAGAAGACTCCAGAATCATTTTGAAAACGAAATATACACTCGTCCTTCAAGATTTTTACTCTGCGTTCTTCTTCGGATATAGTTTCTTCTTCCATACTTTGACAGAAAATGCCTGACTGAGTTTTTGAAAAGACTTTGGTCACAAAACGTCATGGTTAGGTTACTCATTATTTTAACATTTTTTATAACTGACAAACGTAGCTTTTTCGAAAAACATGCTAAAATTCTTTTATTCCTCTCAGAAATTTTGTTGACCTGCTAGTTCACATTTTTTGTCTAGTTAACTGTGTTTGTATATACCTTACAAATACTGTTGACAGCATATTTTGTGCAGCCTACTTGCTTTGCAACTTCATCGTATTAAAGACCTGTCTGGGGTAAAAACACTATGACAATTTACCCTGCTTCGTTCATATTTCGCGTGAGAAAGTAAAACCGTCGTAAGAAAGGGTTAGGCCAGTAATTTTACCCAACCATTTTGATACTTTGGAAAAGAGGAGTCTAAGTGTATTTAGAACCTACATTGAAAATGATTTGATGTCGCAGACTTCATTAAAATCCTAGGTCTTACAAAGAACATATTTGTCCTACTTGTCTACGAAAGATCACAAACTTATACCTTGAGTGTCTTGACGGCGACAATTTGTGCTTTTTCAGAGGGTTTTTCCATAGTTCCTTTGTACACATCACCAAATTCACCTATGAATAATTTTTAATTACAGAATATTCATAAAATTCGACAATTCCTTTTTGATTCTCATTTAACTATCTGGTTTCAGGCCTATAACCTTACGAAAATCTTATATTGAATACAACAAAATCATTACAGCTTACCGAAGACGTTTTCTAACTTAGTCCCATAAAAGCATTATATGTTTGAAAAACTAGAAGATTTAGTCAGAACACAAAGCGGAAAACTCTAACAAGTGTCTAAAGGATGAGCCCCCATTTCCTTAAAGTTGAGCAGCACTGGTATCTTCAACTGAAGACGGTGTCATCTTATATGTGAAAATAACAGTGGAAAATTATTTGTGATGAATCAAAGAAGAGAGAGCCGAGGAGGAAAACAGCAGTAATTTGGGTAGATAACAGACCGAATTGCAGAATAGGCTTGCACCTATCGCATTTGTCTTTCACCTGAACAGTTTTTGTTTAAATCGTTAAAAAATTCGAAATTGAAACGCTAAACCATTGAGGTGCTTAATCATTGAGACACAAACAAACCGTAGTTAGATTCGCGAATGCAAATATCAGTTGTAAGAATCTGCCACCAAGATAAAACGTTTTAAGACTTTGCAACTATCAGAAGAACGATGCTCTTAAACTAACTTTAAACCAACTCACCTCCACCAATCAGACGATCTAGCTTGATCCAGCTTCGGTCTAATTCGTTAGCAAACTGCTGCACAGCGTCCTCCAAATCTTGATATGTCGTCGGATCAATATAAACCTGAACGCCTTTTCCACTTGGGAGAATCACTAAAAAATGTAAGAGAGACTTAGAGCCAGGTCGAACTTTGCATAATTTAAACACAATATTTATGAAAGATATTTTTCTCCAAAAAAGCACAATAATTGAAATCGTAATTGGCTGAAAATAGCAGTCAAAATGTAAACATTGAGAGAAACATTTATGGGAAGTAACAACTGTTATGGAAGTAAAATACCAACATTGATCGAAAATGAATCAACAAATTCGCCATATACGGAAAGAACAACTGGGTATAGTGAAAATTTCTAAGAAATTTTTAACAGCGAATGTGTACGAACCTTCCCCGTTTTCAAGTCGAACAGGTTGAAGATGCTTTGGATGTCGCCTTGATAAGCAGAAAAAAATAAGACCTGAATTGACGGATATTTTAGGGGGGGGGGGGGAAGGTGCTAGATTTTTGACTGACAACAAGCCAATCATAATTTCACTCTTAAGTTACACTTACCTTACAGACCCTTAATATTATACGGTTTTGTTATTATCTTCCTGAATTGAGAAAACTTTTTTTGGCTATAACGAAATGCAAATTATTCTTCGACCGAAATAAGCATTTTCAGTACGACTTAGACTTTTTTTTCTCTGGTGCGACACCCCCATACCCTCGAGCATCTACGTGCCTGTCAGTAAGTCAAAAAAGGAGTGAATCTATACGCATAGCCTAGAGGAGTGGGGTGAAATTTCAAAAAGTCACTCGAGGAAAAAGGGCAAAGGGGCGAGAGTGGCGCATATGGAATAACTTCAGAGAATAACCTCAGAGAACCCGATTTTCGCAAAATAATATTTGAAAAAATGGAACAAAAGGCGCTAAAAAAAGAAGCAATTATGGTAATTGCATGATTGTTTTGAACCGTTTTTTTTGCGGTACAGAATTTGAAAATGGCTTTGAAAAAAGCAAACATTTTACGACACGCTGAAAGCTTTTTCGTCTGATCTTGTTTTAACAGTGTTTCTAGACCTACAAGATCGAGGAGGCTGTTCTCTTTGCGGGCAGTTTTGTTGATGGTTTTGGTAAAATGAGCTGAGCCATTATAACGGGAATGGGAATGAAAATTGTTTTGAAAATATTAAAGCTAACATAAGACGTACCTTCGGTAGAAATATACAACGAAAGCGCCAGCAATCAAGATTAAGACAAACAATGTGACTACGACAGCAATGACCAAAGTCAGTGAAATACCTGTAAATAGAATTCCATATATTATTCATACGTCACTCAAGGTAACTATAGGGAGCATTCTATTCAACAGAACTGACTTGCTCAATGGCCAATATGATAAGAAGATATCAGCGAAAATTAAAAGTAAAAAACAGTACAAAGTACATTGTACTAGGCTGACAATTAGGTATTACTTGCTGGATGGCTTATATGTAAAATGACTAGAATATATCAGCAGATGTCTCGAAGATTCAAAGCAAGTAAAGTACCAAGAACACTGTGCTAGAATAGCAATAAGCTAGACATATCATCACCACCTTGGTTAACAGTAAGGTATGGTTTAGGTTTAGGATTCATATGCAACGGTATGTATATGCAACGGTAATATGATATGAAAAACGAACCTACAGGAGAAACATGAAATACAACTATTTAATGATAAAAATTTTGATTTCCACTGGCTAATACTTTCCTTTTCCTTTAATTTCAAATACGATAACTTCTTCTTTGGAAAATCCAGCGCTCGTGTGTGACTTTACCTAATTTGATAGTAAAAAATTATTTCTACGTTCTACACGAGTGCATCTGCATAAAGTTAACATTCTCAGTCTTGGTAGAGCTAATTTATGACTTGAAGACTCTTTTTTAAAAAAATTACTAGGTTTCAAACCTTCAGTATCAAATAGTTGTAAATAAAAGAAGCACAAGTAATTAAACCCACATCCTCTAAAAGTGACAGGCTTTTCGCTAGCTATTGTACTCAAGGGGGGTTTCCAAGTCCCATTTGCCGAAAAAGTTAGTGAGCCATCCTGTGTTTGCCGACAAGATTGGAAATTTGCCGACTAAGCACCCCTAGATGGCAAGCAACTCCTCGTTTGTCCACTGGAACCATTTCTCAAGGGGAGTGTCACGACTGACGCCCCCCCTCTCCCCCAATAGCAAAGTCACAAGCAGTTAGGATTTCTTTTTGTAGCAGAGTCCTGGAAAGAGTTTGTGCTTTCACAGGGCTTCGAACCAAATCTTTCAAAATCTCTGTCGAAAAAAGTTAAAATGTTTGCCTGGGTGTTTTACCTAAAATCATTCTTCATGTAGGTCGAGAGACTTCTGTTTCTGGAAATTGGTATGAAATTAGGGAATCAAAACTCATACTTACAGACACAGTGTACTTCTTTGTTTCTTGCTCTTGCTTAACAGTGTATTTCAGCTTGGTGGTAAACATTCCTTTTTCGCCATTAACAGTGACAAAATATCGCAGATCATCACCACCCTTTGTCAATGGCTCGTTCCAGAAAATTGTCACTGATGCATCAGAGTTTGTCCTTTTAGTAAGATTCTGAACCTCCGAAGGCACTGGAAATGAGATATAGTACATAAACCAACAAAATATCTATTGGGATATTTACCCAAAATAAACGAATGTAAAATAAACTCAAAAAATAATTTGCTAAAAAGCTCAACTTTCTCATTTAGGCTCCTATCTCAATACACGGACATTGCTACCATTGAACAATTTTTTCAAATTTTCCAGAGTAAAGAATGTATATGCGATAAGTTGGTACAGAGTCTTGCAAAAAAGGAAAAAGAGGATGTTTTCAATCACACGCTGACCCTTAAAACAGCATTAAGCAAACAGAGTAACTTAAGCCAAACGTTCACTCACATCCTGATCTAGTCAAAACTGAAGTGCTGTTGTACATAGCCTTGTCGAAGCCGATGGCAGCAGTGACATTGTTGATGGAATAAACTCTGACGTCATATCGTGTGTAGGCGCTCAGCCCGGTGACATTGAAAAGAAGGTTAGATGTTGTAAAGTCAGGTGGAATTTTACATTTAGTACAGCTTGCTTTTATCGTGTAACTCAGTTTGCCTCCAGTCCCCTGGTCCATGGGAACCGTCCATTCTAATAAGATCCACTTTGACCCAATCTGTTTTGCCCTAACGACATTTGGAGCAGATGGTGGCGCTGTTGAAAACCATATTGATTTACGAGTATTGAGATTAAAAATGATAAGAAAAAAATGAGAATCAAGAATGGAAGTTAAAATGATACAAAAAGATTACCGAACACCGAGTGTTCATTGAGTATTTAGCACCGAGTGTTCATTGAGTATTTAGCACCTAGCTGGATAGCTGAGTAAAAATTCAGTAGAGGTAAAAAGATAGAAGATCTGTAATATTAAAGTGAAAAGAGAATTGTGCACATTAGAAAGCAATGATATAAAATGAAAAATTTTCCATGGTTCACTTTTTTGGAAAAAAGGATTTAATTAGGACCGAAAATTTGTTTAACATAGTCAAAGAGGGAAAATTTTTAATGGAAAGCTTAAAAGCTTCTGAGCGCAACTGATATCTTGCCCCAATATGCAGAAATAAATAAAATATTTACAATGGTATGATGTGATAGAGAAGGTTTGAGATGAATCTTTAGTGAAACAAGTAAATGACCTTCTAGCCACTTGTTTCAATGTATTTATGGGTTCGTAAATCTATTCATTCTCTTTCATAAGAAATCAATAATCTATTAAGCTCACCTTCACAGTCGACAGTTGGAACACTTTTAGATCGAAGTGGCCTGTAATATCCATTGTTGCATTTACAAGGTGTTGTCCTGGGCTTCAGTCCGTCCTCAACATTTGCACCACATCTGGTGCAATTAAAGTTGCCAGCAGCACTTTTGAAACTCTTTGCGGGACATTCTGTAAAAGCATTGCAATAGAGAACAAAAATTATCACCATAACACTCCTATGAATTTGATGTAGGAAAGTTTCAAGAAAATTGATGGATATACCTAATTAAAAAAGATTCTACCTAATGCGGAAGAAGGAAGAGAGTTCTGGGGAGGAATCTTGGATGATGCAAAAGAGGATAATAAACAAGCAGAATGGTTTCAACAAATCAAGGAAACTGGGACATACCCAATACAACAGGACATGCATATTTCTAAGGTTGAAGTAAAAGACCAATGCAAAAAGATGCCAAATTAGACAGCTCCTGGACCTGATGGAGTGCAGGGATTCTGGGTGAAAAAGCCAACAGCGTGCCATCAACAGGGTGCCAGAATAGCTAAACAGATGGATAAAATCTTGAATGGAGAGGAAGAGCTACCTGTATGGATGACAAAAGGCAGAACAATACTATGTCAGAAAGACCCCTCAGAGGAAAACGCCGTAGACAACTTTAGACCTATATAATGTTTACCGTTATTGTGGAAGCTCATGACTGGGATAATCGCAGAAAGCATGTATGCATTCTTAGAGAGCAACAACATTTTACCTAATGAACACAAAGGCTGCAAACGCAAAAGAAGATGAACTAAAGATCAGTTATTAATAGACAAAATGGTCCTGAAAGATTGTAAGAGAAGACACACCAATTTCTCTATGGCCTGAATCGATTATAGAAAGGCATACGACATGGTGCCACACTCATGAATCATCGAGTGCTTAGAACTATTTGGTGTCACCAGGAAAGCGGAACAGTTTATTCGTCGAAGTATGCCTCACTTGAAAACTGAATTAACATCTTGTGGAGAAAGGTTATGTCATGTTCACATTAGAAGAGGGATCTTCCAGGGTGATAGTTTGTCCCCTTTGCTGTTTGTGCTTTGTCTTATACCGTTAAGCCTGGTATTTAGGAATGTAAAAGCTGCATATGAGTTCAAAGATAAGCAACAGAGGATAAACTACCTACTATGTATGGACGACTTGCAACTTTATTGTAAAAGCGATTCTCAAATCGATTCTTTAGTGAAAACAGTACACTTGTTTAGCCAAGATGTTGGAATAGAGTTTTGTGTTAAAAAATGTGGTTTCTTAATCCTGAAGAGGGGGAACGTGGTAGACCATGAGTGAGTTATGTTGCCAGATGGTGGGTGAACTGATGAGGAATGTTGAGAATGATGGCTACAAGTACTTGGGGATCTGGGAAATCGGTGGAGTGATGGAAGACGAAATGAAGATAAGTTTAGAAAGGAATTTCTAAAAAGACTAAGATTAGTATTGAAATCGAAGCTCAATTGAAGTAACAAGTTCCAAGCAATAAACACTTGGGCTGTAGTTTTGCTCAGATATGGAGCAGGTATCATTAAATGCAACAAGGAAGAATTACAAAACTTGGATAGAAAGTCAAGAAAATTATTGACGTTGCATTGTGCCTTCCATCCCAAAAGTGACATAAACAGACTCTTATATCATGTTACATTAATCTGAAAAGAAAATATTGAAATAGCTAAATTTGACTAAAGGTGATTTAAAATCTAAAAAGTAAGAATTTTCAATTGTGATTAAAAATAAATTAAGATTATAAAAGTAAGAATTGCGATATTACAAACTTGGCTAAAAATAAATTAGAATTAGAAGTTATGTTCTTCTCCTTCTGAATCAAACTAACAGCCCCTTTATTGCTTCAGTAAAAAAATATTCTTTAGATTTTGATGAGATTTCGGCTTTCGTTTTTGAAGTTCTTTTGTATCTTGTTAAAAATATCAGCTGCACTGTTCCTCAAAATTTTAGAATTGGTTAAAGTTGCAATTTGTGGTGCAGAGTTTGATCTCAGATGTCTACTGTTTTCTTTCAATGATATGTCAATGTATCCTGCCTAGTGATATGATATCCTTTTCTTTAATGTAACGGCCTAGAAACAACTTGCAGCTGCATTATCCACCTTTTGTAGTCGTTTTTGTAGTTTCAATGAAAGCGAATGAAATACAGCATCAACATAAGCCATTTTGGATAATATTAGCAACTTAGCAACTTGCTTTTCAAGTTTCAGTGACATGATTTTTTTGAATTTTTTTACAATGGCAAGAGCTCCAAAACAGGACGATGTTATCTTGTTTACGTGCTCTTCCCACAAAAGGTGGTCTAAGAAAACATCAAGTAATTTTGCTGACTTTTCAAGTTCAGTTGATTTTTGTCCAATTTTTAGCGCGGGAGCAAAATTATCGAGATTGTGATGACGCGATAGTTGCTTTGTGCTAAGAACAAACATGAGTGCATGGAATGAATGAAAAAGAAAGTTTTATATATGTATATACGCTCATATATTAAAGAGACTCACCATTACAACTGGTAAAGGAATGATTTTCATATCCAGCTATGCAACGACAGCCACCATTTACCTTGGTGGAACCATTTGTATAACAAAACATATAATTAGCTGCTTCTGAAATTTGGACATCAGCATTGGAAACACATGTTCCAAGCACCTTTAGGACTGAAACTGTGCTATTTGGAGCTGCATTTTTAGATGGAAATGACATTAATTCCCCAGCTTCGCTTGGACATTCAATGTAACTGAGTTGAAATGAATCAAGGGTTCCACAAATTCCTTGATCTCTGAAAGCAATAAAAAGTCCAGTCTTTCCTTCCATTCCAATGGTTATAGCTGATGTAAACTGTGCGCTAGATGCGGGAATCATTGATGAGGTATTCTTCAAAGCAGAAATGTACTTGAAGCTTTGAGCACTTGGCGCAGATATTTCACCTGAGCCCAAAAGGACATAGACACCAATGGACAATTTGGCTAAACAGCAATTCAAAGTATAAGTAACTCTGAGGGTTATCTCCTTCGCTGGATTTGTAGTGATAGATGGTGTTATAACATTACCATCTATGACACCATTACTTGTTTCACAAGCAGTGAACCCAGTCTTATCTGTCTTTAGGTTCCACTGAAAAAAAGAAAAAAAAGAGTGTCAGATGACTTGGCGCCTGGTTTAAATTTATCACTTAGCATTAAAAATTAATGCACTTACTCGCAAAATATTTGTGCAATAGCGCAAGATTACACTAAAAATTTTCAAGCAACAAGACATCGGAAAGTAGATGGTCAAAGATACCGATGCAGATGAATGTAGGACAAAATGGCAGAAAAATTATATTCTAATGATAGCTTTTTATGTAAAGTGGTAGCTATTCACGTCATTCCTTAATCCCTAGATTTATCAACCCAAAAGGCCAACATTACAACAGCAACATGCCAGATAAACAAATTGGATTGCCAAACTGAAAAACGTTAAAAAATATAGAGATCTTAAACAAGCTTTAAAGGAACAATCATCAAAAATACATGCTATGCATCATACAAAGGGAAAAAAGTAATCAAGAGCATTTACAAACAGGAAGAGCATTTACGGTAAAGTTAGTTTCTAAATAAGTCTAAGTATCCTTGACTAAAAGTTCCAGCTGCTTATGAAAACAAAGCGTTATTAGAATTGGCAATCGCCACACATTTAGAAGATAAAATGTAAGGCTGTCGTGGGAAGATGATACCCTAATAAACCCCTTAGGCCTTGAAAGATTCTTTACCAAGTAATTGTTAGATGGGCAATAGCCCTTGTAAGCTCATTCATGCGGGCAGTTTTTCACTTGTGAAAATATTTTCACCAAACGGTCTGCCAACAATATTTATTAGGTTGCAAAAGAAGACCTAAATGGCTGCTCAAACTAGAAAGAAGTCATCAAAAATATATACAATCTGAAAAGGCTTGCTAATGATAGTTTGTGGTAGAAAATGGATTTCTTTCTAAACAGAGTTTGAATTAAATTATAATTATCCTGTTCATATGACTGTCTTGTTTTTCTGAAAAAAAAATTAAGCAGAATTATGAAGAACTACATTAAAAAGATTCTGTAACAAACTGCATAGCAGTTGATAAAAGATTGGATTACAAATTTGATAAAAAAGATGAAATACTTTGCTAAAACAAAAAAGGCAAACTGCTTTCATCTTTATTTTTATGATGACTGAGAAATTTCTGTTTATTAAATTTGGAACTAGAAAAGTATCAATTTTGAAGGATGGTTCGTTTGACCATAAAAATATTGTTTTAAATGTTATTAAACACGGTATGATTTATACCTTTCTACCGACACAGTTGAAAATTTCTACCTTTAAAATTTCTTTATTATCAAAATAACAGAAGGTCCTTACTCTAAAGGTGCCATTTGACTTAAATTAGCTGTTTGTCTCTTTTCCTCTATCATCTCTTGGTGGAAGAGATCACTTCCAATAATTGTATCGCTTTTTCACAGTATTATGTTACGACCTGTAAAACTCATTTGTGCATAGTAGGCTGAAGAAAGGACACTAAAGTATTCAAGCTTTTGAATCTGGTATCTATCGATTTCTGACAAATTTGAGGAAAATTTCAAGTTACACCTCCAAAAGAATTCATCAAAAACAAAAATTTTCGACAATTTTTGACGACAAAAACAAGCCTCTATTTCTTCAATTTTTTGAGAGAAAGCAATTTCATATTAAAATAATCAAATCTTACAAGCTGGATAAACTTAAAGCTAAAAAACGGAGTATCCTTATAAGATGCTATGTTTAATAAGACATTTAAAAAAAATTAATCAGGAATAGAAACTTTCAGATGGCTATTTTTCATATCTTTGAAATAAAAAAACCAATGTAATGTCGAAATTCTTGCAACTTTTGCCAAAGAAGCGAAATCAAAATTCTAAAATTCACAAAACTTGAAAGAAGATGCTCAAAACAAAAGTGATCCCTTTAAATTAAAGCGTTTAAAGATATGGGAAAGCCTTTGATGAAGTCTTGAAGATGTCTCTATTTGATGAAATTGATAATATAGTGTGGTTGAATTACGATTTTAACAGGACAAAAATATTAAAAAGCTGTAATTTGGCACATATGTTCCATCAAAATTATTTAGAAAACACCAGGTGCAATCTGTTCACTGGTAGGGCAGGATTTTGAGGCCACTAGAGCGACATAAAAAAGATTCGCTTCTTTGTTGTCTTTAGACATAGTTCTTTGAAAGCATCACAATGCATTTCCGAAAGCATCATCAACTCAAGCAGCTGAGGTATTGTCAACAATACATAGTGACGTTTGCAGACCAATTAACGTGGAATCGATTGGAAAGTCAAAGTACTTTGTAACATTTATCGAATGCATCTCGGTATACCCACGTTTACTTCCTTAGGCAAAAAGTGAAGTGCTAGAAAAATTCGAAAAATTTGTAAACTTAACAACCAATGAGACTTGGAATAAAGTCAAGATACTTCGTACCAATAATGGTGGTGAATATTGCTCCAAAGAATTCATAGAATACATGAGAGAAAAGGAATTATACATCAAACAACAACTCCAATGAATCTGGAACAAAATGGTGTTGCAGAGCCCATGAATAGGACAATTGTGGAGACAGCTCGTTCTATGTTACGTCATGCTAAATTACCAACTTCATTTTGGGCAGAAGCAGTTAGCACAGGTGTATTCTTGAGAAACCGCAGCCCAACAGTTGCACTTAATAAGAAGACACTATTTGAATGCTGGTATGGTGTGAAGCCAAATGTGTCAAATCATAAGGTGTTTGGTTGCATAGCTAATGTGCAGATTGCTGATAAATATCGTCATAAATTTGCTGCTAAATCAAAACAAGCTATATTGGTTGGCTACTCAATTGGAACAAAGGGGTATAAGCTTTATTATCTTCAAGCTAAACATTTCATTCACAGTTGTGATGTTATCTTCTCAGAGAGAGACTTTCATGACTTTGATACAACTGTCTCATCAAAATCTGATCATATATGTATTGAGTTTGATGATGAAATGAATCCAGACGTTGATGGGAATGTTATAGAAGAAGTGAACCACAATATCTTGCCAGTGGGAGCAACATATGAGAAGAAATTTATGAGAGAAGTTGCAAACTTGCAAGGCGAAAGAACATGTTCTTCTGCTAAGCTGGCTGAGCAAGTCAATGAAGAAAATGAAAACTGTTTCAGTGCTGATATTATAGCAGACGAAATTGATGAGCCAAGAAAGATCCAGGATGCATGGACTGGAGAACATGCTAGTGAATGGAAAGAAGCTAATGATGCAGAATACTCATCATTAATCAAAAGCAAAACATGGGACTTAGTTCCAATTCCAAAAGAAAAGAATATTGTTGGGAGCAAGTGGGTATTTAAAGTTAAGAGAAATGCAGATGGGTCTGTTGACCGCTTTAAGTCTCGCTTAGTAGCTCAAGGCTACTCACAAGCTGAAGGAATTGATTACCAAGAGGTATTTTCACCTGTCATTCGATACTCTTCAATATGCTCATTACTTGCATTGGCAAACAAGAACAATTTAGAAATACATCAAATGGATGAAAAAACAGCATTTCTTCAGGGTAATTTGGACAGTAAAATCTACATGAAGCAGCCTGAGGGTTATGTTAATGCTGATAAACCATAATGAAAGGACTGTTTATTATTTGCTATGATACATTTTTTGTTTGGCTTAATATATCAATATACATTCATTAAGTGGGAGTGACAAGACATTTACTATTATCATGTTTTGACTCATAGTATCATTGATTGACACTTTAAGTTAAGCCTTGCTTAGACATGCTGCGACCACGTTTTTAGTACTCTTTTATGCTGAATACGTAATGTGGCCTAGTATTATATCCTTATCGTATAAGTTGTTTTGTTATGTTCATTCAACCATAGTTTATCTTTCAAGATACTCTCCGTGGCATTCTTATAGAAACAACCTAGAGTGACCCTTTTGGTTATTCTTATTCTATGATCAGACCAATGGTAGAGTTTATAAGGAAAGCTACCATTACAATTTCCACACGTCCTGAAATATTTAAGTGTAGATTTCATGGTGATTTGTTTAAACTTACATTATTGCGAATTGAAGCATCAGTGCCATTTTTGACTATCCTCCAATGTTCAAGCTCAGGCAATGAAACAGGAACTGAAAAGAAATGACAGTCTATAAATAAAAAGCATAAATCATGATGATAGAAAAATACAATATTATGTCACTGATACACAAGCTCAAAATGAGACTCAGAAATTTTTTAAATAATTGGTAACAATTCTATCATTCTTTTTTCTTAGACCTAAACAATTAATTTTTGAATGCTTTGAGCATGTAAAATTTTCTATAAAAAATTTCAAAACATTGGGCACTTACTGGGCACAACATAAAATGCAAACCAAGTTACGTGATCACTCGAAATTAATTCAGGTTCCAATTCTAAGTTTTACTTCAAAAGAAGGCTGTTTCAGTAAAATTGGGAGTTTATCAAATTAATTGTAACTTTTGGGATGATATAATTCACATAAAAATAGGACAACAAACAGCAATGCTGATGTAAATAAACAGGTATTAATCACATTGAGGTGGGAAAATCAATTTAAAGCATTTTCATCTTCCAGAAGAGAATTCATCTTCCAGGGGTTTTTAAATAACAAAATTAATCTTTTAAATCTTTCAGCAATAATAAGTATATATACAAGAAATTTTATACTGAGATCAAAAGATGATGTACATAACGTTCTTATCAACGACAACATTTGAAGCTAAACATATTTTTAGTTTTCTTCATAAATGGGGCCAACTTGCTGATACAAACAGACTAAAAGATTTCCAAATTCTTTATAAAGACATTCCCTCTTAAAGACCTTAAAAAGACAAGACAAACCAAATAAATAAAACATTTGCAATAAAAGCAATGTTGCATTTGGCAACAACACAATAACTGCGCACCTTCTATTCCATTGGTAACATTCACAATACAGCTCAGGGTTAACAGGACTAGGCCCAAAATGGGATGCCAATTCCATTTTATATCCATGACAGTGAAGCAGCAGTTAGTTCGATGCCACAAATATTGGCGAGCTTACAAATGATACTTTACTACATAACAATCTCTGCTTTGCAAACTGTCAATTAGCAGATCTCGAGTTGGTCCAAAATAAATACTTAACTTCCATTCACACCAGCCTTTCTCATGGACCCAGCTGCGAATAAGTTGAACGAAAAGGCAGCACCAAAATAAAGGGCCTGCTCGTAACAATCAGTCAACGATTCGTGTAAAAACAATCTCATGAGCAGATTCTCGATTTAGGCCGCAGTGATAGACTAATGCATCGAAATCATAACAGTTAAGTTTGTATAACGGTCAACCAAGCCACAAACGGTAAACCTCTTGTCTTTTTTCAATACAAAATACACACAAGTCTATGAAGTTATTACTATTAAATGTTATTATATTTGCAATACGCGTCCGTTTCTCGACACCATTGAGCATTCATCTCATTTCCATCCACTTCCTCGTAAAACTTTGTTGCGGGATTTCGTGAAAATAACATCAAGTAACACAATATTGGTGATTGTAAAAGAAGCATTTCCGTGTAATTGAATTGGGGTGTAATTTTATTCATATCATATCATGCATTTTAAAACTTTCGAAATTGGTTCAGAGGTAAGTCTATAATAATGGACGGTAGGAATTAAGCGTATGCAATTTCAATGATAACACTTCCCATAAATATGAGTTGTTTACTTGTTTCATCCATCAATTCCAAGTAATTTAGTCATCCATAAAACAATTTTTATAAACAAGTAAAATAAAGCCTTCGTCGTATTCTATGAAAATAGCAACAGAGAACAACTCTTATAAAAAAATCAGGCTGAGATTTGCCTGAAAATTAAGGACACCATAACAAACAAGGCAAGCTGAAATTCAACAAAACACAAAGAGATAGGCTAAATTTATATGAACAAGTAAGAAGCACCAGGTGTTCTGGAGCCAAGTGTTCTTATAAAAAAGTGTATACACATATTTTTATAAGAATACTATAAACATTTTCCAGCCTCGATAATCTTAAGAAATGTTCGTTTTTAGCCTGAACAAATTTTCAAAGTATTATTTTTTTCAAATCTGATTTGGTTTCAGGGTAACGTCGCTCATACCCGCATAGAAACCACGGTTTATGAAGAAAATGAGATATGCGAGTCATGCAATTCTCTGTCATCAAAATCACAAAACAGGCAGCTGAAGAATGAAGGACAAAAATGGAAGCCGAGATTGAGCAATATTTTTATGATATTCTAAAAAAATGGATGATTCTGGACCCTAATATTCTTATAAACAATATTCTAACATAAGGAAAAGAATGTAGCCAGAAAGAACACAACCGAATCACCGAGTAGTACGACATTTAATTCTACTTGATTTGCTATAAACATTAAAATGTAATAATCTTAGCATACCAACGAATGGCGAAAATAAGTTGATTCAGATATGGCACGTGAAAAATATGACATTTAGTACAAAATTCTTATTATTTTGAACCGATACCGAACTACAGGAAGTATAAATAATATTTTGACCAAAATCTGCAATATATCCCTTACCAATCCAGTATACAATTGAAGTATCTAACTAAGCAAGAAAAAGTCCAAGAAGCATTACATTAACAAAAGGTTAGCTTGTGCTCATAGAAAGACTCTGCAGAAAAAGCAGGGGTGCCATGAGGGGGGACTCTTGGGGCTCAGCCCTCTCTTCGCAAGCCAGTTTTTGTTTAGTTGGAGGAATTCCTTACTTGGCAATTTTAACTATATTGTTGACTTTCCGTGAATAAGGAATTTCCTATAAGTAGTTCTACGTCAGTTAACAATTTGAATAGTTTCATGTACACAATGGAGAAACTTTAACACAAACACAACTATATTGAGAGTGACGGTGTGTGTGGTTTTGGGCGTGGCCTGTACAGCAAAGCCCCCTTCCAACGTACGGCCTGTACAACAAAGGACACCCCCCTGTAGAGGTAGAGGCGGTAAAATGTACTTCAAACCCTTAAATGAGTTACATTTCTTTTCGCTTTCAGAATGTTGGTCACCCCACCCCTCTCTTAAATTTACTGCCATGAGATTAAAACCTGTTATGAAAATCAGATAAGAGACATGATCAACTCTTTTGCAAGATGTAAACAGATCAGAAAAAATATCTAGCTCACAAATTTCAAATGTGGGTTACCTATTAGCTTAATACTGTATTTTTTAGCCTCTTTAATTCAGCATCTGCATATTTTTGTTAAAGGTGAAGTTTTTCAGAGGTCTCTTAATGCGCCCACTAGCTAATGTTCCATTACACCTAATTTTGATAAAGTAGTATCAAATTTTACTATTACCCTTTTCGTTCAAATTTATCGTAAACATGTTTCTGGAGAGTGAATTATTTTGTTATATCTTCTTGTTATATCTTAATTTGTAGCAAGGCTATAAAGGTCTTTCAACTATAAAAAGAGGTTGAGAACTATCGAAAAGAGAGCAACGGTCCTAAACTCAAGGAATTTCCTTTTTCACGTTTTCTTAAATTGGTTTGTCGGCGATTCTCAATAACTCTTTAAAGATACTGAATTTTTTGACAAAATCAGTATTTTTGAAATCAGGATTTTCAAATTTAAAGAACAAACGGAAACAAAAATTTTCTTCTAAAAATAAAAGAATGCCAAAGTTTTTTGGAAATTTGGGAAGTGAAATTTTTGGAAAAAAACTTCTTTCCTTGAAGCAAGCTAAAATGCCCTAATTTAGGATCCTAAAATCACTTGAGATGTTTTGAATAAATTCCAAGCTCATATTTCAAATAAACATAATAGTCATTTTTCAACAAAACTAACACATCGTGGACTTCAATATTAACATATTTTTGGCAAAGAGTGCAAAGAGCTTTCGGATGTCAAATGCATCTACTCTAGTATTTGGTAAAGCATGAAAAATGTAGGGCGCTCTTCAGAAATAGGTAAGGGGTACTTGTCGACAAATATGAGAGATACAAATATGAACTTAACCATTGTTTCCGAAAAATTGGTGGGTTTGTGTCCCAGTCCCCTGAATCTCCTGAATTACACATATAAGACCCCCTATGCGCGCACATAGAAAACATCTAGACCAATTTTCACGTATGTTTGTCAGTGGCATCCCCCCCCCCCCTTCACCAGAGACAAAGGTTCCCATCTTCGTAGCATCCAATCTAGTATCTATCGCATAACGAAAATGATTTACTTCATCTTCAAGTTTAATAGCTTTGTTGAATATTGAAAGGAGATACATTTAGACGTTCATCGCAACAGCTGTGTGTAGGAGTGTATGAAGTACTGATGAATGAAACTTCGCGGGCAACACAACTTTATTCGAAGCTAACAAAGCGTCTTAAGTGTATTCCGGTATGAATATGGCTGTCACTGGGACTCTCTCTCCTCTTCAGAGACCAAAGTTTCTGTAGCGTCCAATCTAGTAAGTATCGCATTAACTAAAATGATTCCTTCAACTTCATATTCAAGTTTAATAGTTTTCTTGTATATTGAAAAGATATACATTGTATCATACTGCCTTGTCACAACCGATTTCTTGTGTTTCAGCAACTCCGGACTCCGGATCCACTTATCAAACATACAACAAATGTCCTTAAATTTTGGTCTTTTAATGCGATCTTTGTGCCAGCAAGATAACATAAGATCGTGCACAACTTTAGGGCAGCTCTACAAGAGATATTCAATCGTAAGCAGCTGCTTTTTAAGTATTCACTTGAGTAAAAAACAGCAATAGTTGCGTTGATGAACTCAAAGACATTAAACAGAATGTCTTTGGTTATTTAAGATCTGGGGCCAATGTGAGTTTAGGTAAGGAGGGAGGGGCTAGGAAAAGAGGGAGTCTGGGAAGCAAGGAGAGAGTAAAGCGTTTCAAAGATTACTTCGAAATATCTTTGTATTAGTATACCTTTAAAGTGCTGAAAATCAATAAGAACCCCCCCCCCCCCATATATTTTGGAGTAAGAAAAAAGCAAATTTCTGCGAGAAGGATCTCAAATCCCTAGGTTCTTACACGCGGGTTTTTATTCTACCGTGATCAAACAAGCTTGAGAGAATCAAACACTGCCGTAAGGTTAGGATACAGAAGACAGTAAAATAGCAAACGAGCTCTATCCAAAGGTAGCGTTGCATTCGCGAACATACCATTACCAGAATGGGAGAACTATTAAAAATCAATGATTTGGATAACAAATGAAAGTTCATTGCACATGACGAGAACATATGAAGAAAAAACAAAATTATTGGTACGGATGCATGTATTTTCAGCAATCTAGGGTATGGATGCATTATCAGCAAGTTGATTTATTTTTCCAATTAAAATGTGTAGCCCAAGAAAGCAAGTTACATCAATTATTGCCAACAGCTTTGTTAACTGTTTTTTAACCCTTCTGCGATAAAAGAAAAAAAATGTCTGTAGAATAGGCCATCAGTAGGCCATCAGTAGGCCATCAGTAGGCCATCAACAGGCCATCAGTAGGCCATCAGTAGGCCATCAGTAGGCCATCAGTAGGCCATCAGTAGGCCATCAGTAGGCCATCAGTAGGTCATCAGTAGGCCATCAGTAGGCCATCAGTAGGCCATCAGAAGGCCATCAGTAGGCAATCAGTAGGCCATCAGTAGGCCATCAGTAGGCCATCAGTAGGCCATCAGTAGGCCATCAGTAGGCCATCAGAAGGCCATCAGTAGGCCATCAGTAGGCCATCAGAAGGCCATCAGTAGGCCATCAGAAGGCCATGAGTAGGCCATGAGTAGGCCATGAGAAGGCCATGAGTAGGCCATGAGTAGGCCCGCAGATTTTGCTTTTGTTGGAAAATCTTTAGATCAAAAATGCTGTTGCAAGGAAGTCTATGGATCAGGAAAACTCAACTGCTTTTACGTCGGCATTGTAGTACCCCCATATAGATTTCAAGGTTCAAAGCAGATAAAGCTCGCAAACATAAGCAACGAAAATAACAAGGAACAGACAATGTTTAACCTAGGTGTAGCCTCGATATGAAAAGAACAGACCATGGCATATTTGTCATATCTTGTGTAATTTATCAAGGAAAGGCTATGAAAAGCTGTAGTGAAGATCTATGAAATCTAGAGACTTTTAAACGTAAAACATACCATGGCGGAGGGAGTCTGAAGCCAGAAGTCAGACGTTCAAGTACCTAAAAAAGAATTAAGGCTTAAATCGAGATTTCAGTTCAGAAAAGAATGCGCCAACAGTCGCATAAAGAAATTAAATATTCTTCCTTCCTTTATTGTACACATATTCTTTGTTTTTAGACGTTGTTTTTTTAAAGTATACTGCTTAACTTTAAGTTTTCTCCAACTGTTTGATTTACGTCTGTTTAATTGCTAAATCTTTCGCACTGGTCTTTTTCTTATTTGTATTCACACAAGTTTAAAAAACCTCTTCTGCTTGATTCATCTTTAAAGAAAAACATAACACAAAAACACAAACAACATTCCCGCTACCATTATAGAAAATGGGCTTAAAGAGTTTAAAAACTTAGGATCTTGGTGACCAAGTAAGGAAATAACGAAAGGACCCTAACTTCCATTATCGGGTTTAGAATAGTGACTTAAAAGTCATCGCAATAGAGTTCTAAAGTGATGACGTCACAAAAATCTTTTTTAAGAATTTTTGAATTTTGATTCAATAACCTGAAAGATCATCATGAAATACCTCTAAATGTGCAAAATCAGGCAAATGTATTACGAAATGACAGAGATATGGCCACATGTTTACTGGTTCTCTCCTCATCAAACCTCTGTATTTTGGTCTCTGTTCATAACTTCATGAACAGAGCCGAAATAACAGTGAATCGTTAGCAAACCTCAAATCTTTCATTAGCCATATCTCAACCGATTTTGGACATATCTGGCCAATTTTGCATATTTGGAAGTATTTCATAGTGATCTTTTACGCTATGTGGTTAAAATTCAAAAATTCTAAAAATAAGTTTTTGATGACGTCACACTTTAGAACTCTATGCCCAATTTTTATCATTATCGTTACAAGCATTTCCCTAACGATGGAAAAGTATAAAGTAAATTTCCCTAACGAATATACCTCATTATTGCCCCAGTTCCAATATGGCCTTTCTCCGTAACACATTACCTCCCAAAGCAGGATTCTATAACTCCAAACATCCGAAGAAATAGTGAATTTCTTTAGTTGGACTGCTTCCGGTGCTGTCCATTTGACAGGGATCTTACCACCCTGTAAAAAATAATTAAGTTGAAGTATATCAAAAATGATTTCATTTACCAGCTTTAGGGCCTGCGCCACCGATTCTAAAATGGGGAGCCACAAAAGGAGGATTTTATACCTATTTAATACCCAACAGGAGGATTTGACACCTATAGTTAGCAAATAAAAATGGGGGGGCATTGCTCCCTGCCTCCCCCTGTGGCGTGGGCCCTGAGCTTAGATCTATAGCGATATTCTATTTAGACAAAAAAGGTTTAGAATGAAAGGTAGCAGAGTGGTTTGAGTTGCAAAGGTTAATCACATTATTAGTGGAACCTGACAACAACAGCCATGCATAGCCAAAGACCTACAATCCCGGACAAAAATGTTGAGACAAAATGCAATTTTCGTAATAGTTTACTTTACCTTGCCCCTGTATATTCGAATCCCCCCTTTCCCCCCGAAGCAATGTTGGATTTATAGTTATAGAGGGGAAAAGTGAGAATATAAGCTTTCCTTGAAAAGTCTCAACCATTTATTGGTTGCTTTGAAGGGAAAAGAGATTGTCAAAATTCGACGATTTTGGCAAGCCTGTAGCTTTACTTTTTGTCAAATTGGGGGATGTAAACAAAGGCAATTTTTTGGAAAACTAGCTTCCGTGAGTGGGATACATTGTGAAAAACTGTTAGGTATTTATTACACGAGAAGTTGTGCTGCTTTGAGCTGGAAAACTTCTGTGAATAATAAATGCTTTTAGCAAGTCTATAATCTACTTTTTTGTGAAAATCTAGACAGAAAAAAAGGGAATAACATTAAAACATAAAAGAAAAAACTACGTTCCATGGCCAAGGTACAAAACCAAAACCTGGCAAATGTTTAAATATGGGGAAATTCTGTCAAAAATTGAATATTTTTGGAAGCCTATACGTTTCTTTCTTGTGGAAATAGAGTCACTGAAACAGGAAAATTTTATTAGGAAAACAAGATTCAATAATAAAGCTGGATACATAGTTAAGTTCTGTTAAGACAATGAGTTTGATTATTAGCTAAAAAATCACTGGAAAAATTTACAACTTTGGAAAACCTGTAATTCTACTTTTTTCAAAATTGGTTCACTCAAAGAAGAGATATTTCTTATGGAAAAAACTTTCTATGAACAAAATTATTTTAATTACTATTTCAATACTATTTAATTACTTAAAAACTATTACAGATAAAAATTACTTTAAGAGTTTATTTAGATGAGAAAATTCTGATGTTTCGGAAAAAATGAAAATATCAAAACTTTGTTACTTATGGTGGTAATTCTAAGATATACTGTTTTAGCCTTGAACATATACATAAAAATGTATAAGAACAGGAAAATAGATGATACGTATGACGTCAATGCGAACAGTTTAGATGAAAAACGGGCTATGCTCGAAACGTCGTTAATTATTTTAAAAGATTTTTCCTGGTACAATTTACTTTAAAATTCATTGATCGTTAGTTTAGATGAAAGCCTTTCATGTGAGAGTGTGTTTGTTAAGTGAGGCAACGAAGTTCGAAAAGATTGGCAAATAAGTCAACGAAATAGGACATCTAGACACCACTACATCAGCACGCTTTAAGAAGCATCTCCAAGACCTACGTATCGGTAAAATCGCGGACTTCAGATCTACCAGGTTTAGGAAACCCTTTCATTATTCCGCTTGTGCCAGGCTGGATACAGCCTGAGTTCAAATTTAATACGACACTTATTCACATATAACGACTATTTTCTCTCGGACATTCAAGAAACTATTCAGCGTTACTTCGTTATCAAATAGTTAGTTATCTGTAATTATCATTATATATGGTTTAAAAAATGGTTTCGACTAGTAAAAATTATTCACAAGAAAGATTAAATATCATGAATATCTTAATAAACAAAATAGCTTCATGTCAAAAAGTAACGGATATAAAAACTCCTAAATTCATACCTCATGCACTTGGGCATTTATTCATCACTATTTCAAAACCATTTAAGTTATACCAGAATGCAACTATGCACATATTAAGTGGCAAATGCTAAGGCTTCAAAATTAAAAGGTTCTACGCGAAAATGCTTTTGTAGGTTCTTTATAATAATAAGATGCAACTGATTTCTACATTTCGTTTTATCGATTCTTGAACAAGGCAACGCCAACATCTTTAACCTCTCATTTCATAAAAGATTTTGTTATTTCAAAATATTTAGAAGTTAAATCTAGAAGCCTTTTTTGCTAACATCGATAACTGTTACTAATCGGTGACTAAACATGAATCTATCTTACAGAAACTCTAATCTTAACTGCAATAAGAAAATTAATTTGAAAAATACACTATAAATACAGATCGCAAGAATTTCGATACTACTTTTTGAAAGACAATCCAGCTATTAATGTGAGTTGTGCTATATCATTGAAGCAGAATAAGTGACTGTTTATGTTGGCAGCAGGAGAGAGAGATGTTAATGTCTCTTGGCTACGATCGAGTGTTTTTATGCAGTGCGAAAGTTCAAAAACCGTATGTCTCTTGATACATACAAACAGGACAAAAGGGCTGAACCTTGAAAATGAAGACTATACAATGAACGACATCAACAAAAATACGTGTCTAAATAGTTCCAGAAAGTTTTTAACCAAGAAGGTGAGCTGTATCACAGCTTAAATAAGGAGATGAGTCACTTATATGAAATAATTCAGTGTATAACAAGTCAAATTTCACTGTATGACGCCGCAAGGTGACCTTGAATAAGGATTTCTACTCAATACAGGTCAGTACCTTCTTGTTAAAGACATTGAGTCATGGCAAAAAGGCTGATTGTTGCTGTTTCACGTGATATTGGCATTCGTTAATGACAACTTGCTATTGGTGGAAACTGTTTTGTTAATCAGTACGAGGTGAGTTCATGTGACCAGTTTAAGGTCAACCAATAGCATCGCAGTCATAAAAATAGTGACTCAGCGGATTTTGGCACTTAGGGTATACCCAATCGATTTTATCATGACTCAATGCCTTTAAATAAAACATTCAACCTATGCACAACAACTTATGAAAGAAAACCACAACAACAGCTTACAAGATAACTTGGAATGTCTTCTATGGTGCAGAATGCTCTACCTACGTTCTCCAAACAATTCAATACTTCTAATATAAAAACGTCACATCAAAAATGTCTTTCGTAGAAATGCATCTATACAATCAAGGGCAATACATAAACAAGTCAAACTAGATAGTCCTCAAAAATTGGTCAAATACTTATTATGACATCATGACAAACTACTGTCATAGACATGAGAGTGATGTTATGAAGTTTTCGATGTAATTTCTAATAAAAGCAACTTGCCTCACAGCGCTTAGATTGCCATGGATTTTGTTCTAATCAACTGGCCTTTCGTCAAATTGATGTTCTTCATAATTTTGTTTCGGTGGCCAACAGCTTCAATTCCTATATCTTTCAGATCTGGATCCGTGAGTTCTAAGATCTGTCGGGGTGTGACTAGGCCCTTTTTAGTGAAGTTCTCGATGTATCGCGACATCCCAATCGAATCAAGCCATTCTTTTAAGGTCTTCATTGACGCGTAATCCAAATTAGTGTCACTACGATAGATAAACAAGGAGAAGTAATAGATAGAGTATGAAGGCAGCCTTCTTTATATTTCTAAGAAAGATTGTATAAAACTCATATCGTATAGATTGAGAACTCATATAAAGATATAGGGCGCTTTAAAGAAGTGGGGAAGGGACACAGGTCAGCGAAAACGGGGCCCATTCGAGAGATACAAATATTGGTGGGTATATGCTCCAGTACCCCCCCCCCCCTTCCGACTCATTCCTCTGCTACTACATTGAACACCTCCTAAGCTCGCACGTAGAAAATTCCAGGAGAGGGAATCCCAGGGGGTTAAATGTGCGACTAAATATGCATGATACACTTATTTAGACGTTCATCGCAACAGCTGTGTGCAGGAGTGTATGAAGTACTGATGAATGAAACTTCGTGGGCAACACAACTTTATTCGAAGCTAACACAGCGTTTCGAGTGTAGTCCGGTATGAATATGGCTGTCACTGGGACTCCCTCTCCTCTTCAGAGACAAAAGTTGTATCGCATTAACCAAACTGATTCCTTCAACTTCATATTCAAGTTTAATAGTTTTCTTGTATATTGAAAGAAAATATATTGCAACATACCGCCTTGTCACAACCGATTCTTCGTGTTTCAGCAACTCCGGACTCCGGATCCACTTATCAATCGTGCCACGAATGTCCTTAAATTTTGGTCTTTTCACGCGATCTTTGTGCCAGCAAGATAACATAAGATCGTGCACAACTTTAGGGCAGCTCTGCAAGAGATTGTCAATCGTAAACAGCTGCTTTTAAGACTTAGATAAGAAACAGCAAAAGCTGCGTTGATAAAAACAGAAACAGTGAACATAAATTTTTTGGTTATGTAAGGTCTGGGGCCAATAGCAAAGCCATGACAAGAGAAAGGAGGGAGGCATTGAAAAGAGGTCTGAGACCAATGTAAGTTTATGTAAGGAGGAAGGGGGTAAGAAGAGAAGGAGGTGAAATCAAGCATGTAGATTATCGTTTAGAAAAAGGAAAGTCTGATAGTCTGGGAAGCAAGAAGAGAGAAAAGCATTTCAAAGGTTACAAACAGTGAGAAGAAAAAGGGGCTTCGTGAAGCAAGCTAGCGTATTGTACTGTGACCAAGCAAACTTGACCGAATCAAACACTACGTAGAATTAGAATACACAGGACTGTAATATATGCAAACGAGACGCATCTAAAGGTAGAGTTACATTTTCAAACATACCATTACCAGTGAGGGCAGAATGGGATATCTATTTAATATCTTTGACTTGGATAACAAATGGTACTTTATGGACATGATCAGAAAATATGAAACTAGGGCATTGGGAATCTGAAACTCGCGAAAAAGACCCCTCTGCGATAGAAGAAAAAAAACGTCTGTAGAGTAGTAGGCCATCAGTAGGCCTGCAGATTTTGCCGTTGTCGGAAAATCTTTAAAATTCAATAATGCTGATGCAAGGGAGTCTATGGATCAGGAAAACTCAACTGCTTTTACGTCGGTATTTTAGTACCCCAATATAGATTTTAAGATTTATAGCAAATAAAGCTCACAAATATAAGCAACGAAAAAAGCAAAGAGCAGAAAATGTTTAAGCTAGGTGTAGTCTCGGTATGAAAAGAACAGAGCATGGCATATTTGTCATATCTTGTGTAATTGATCTAAGAAAAACATGTAGTTAAAATCTATAAAATCTAGAGACTTTGAAACGTAAAACATACCATTGGCGGAGGAAGTCTGTAGCCAGAAGCCAGACGTTCAAGCACCTAAAAAAGAACCAAGGCTTGAATTGGTTCCTACGCGTGTCAGCTCAGAAGCGAATGCACCAACAGCCACAAAACAGTTGAAGAAGATGAAGACCCGTATGTAAGAGACAAATATTCTCCCTTCTTAGGCGTTGTTTCCTAAAGTATCCTGTGTAACTATATGTTTGTTTCCAACAGCTTGATTTACCTCTGTTTACTTGCTAAAATATTCCGTAGAGAATTCGACAAACTTTCCGTATTTGTCTTCCCTGATTTGTAATCACAAAAGTTCATTTTGATATCGTTTATTTTCCACGAATATAACGTGAAACTTTTCAAAAAAATTCCTCTGCTTGATTCTTTTAAAAGAAGTACACAAGATGGTTGCCAAAACTTTTGAACATTGGAAAACAATGCCCTACTAAATATTCTCATGTATTCAACCTTGCAACAATATTAGGCCCAGATCATGTTTCAAGGAATAGTCGACGCCGCAGGTAAGTCAAGATGACTCTAAATCTTGTAGAATTAGCATCTTTTAAGTTTTGATAAGCAAGGTAATGGATGTGAATTTCAAAAACAGACAGAAACAATACCCCTCCATACCCCCCACCCCCCATTTAAAAAATAAATCTATAGATCTCAACCGCGAGATAGCATCCTGATCAAATAACAAGGGTTAAGCAATCATTTTCTGAATAACGAGTTAACGAAATAGCCCTGAATTTTTTCTTCAGGTGTAGAGTGTTGATTTGAAATCGCAATTTATCAACTTTTGTTAAAACCATTGCCCAGGCGAGAGATAGATGGATAGGAAATAAAAAATATTTCCCTATTGGTGAATATTAGAAAGATACGTGAATATACCTCATAATTGCCCCAGTCCCAATATGGCCTTTCTCCGTATGACATTATCTCCCAAAGCAGGATACCATAACTCCAAACATCCGAGGCAATGGTGAATTTCTTAAACTGGATTGCTTCCGGTGCTGTCCATCGAGCAGGGATCTTGCCACCCTGTAAAAAATTGAGTTAAAACATATCATAAAGGATCTCGTCTACCAGCTTCGAACTAAAGTGAAATTGTTTTTAGACAAAAAAGGTTTACAATGAATAGATTTAGTAGCAGAGTAGATTCAATTGCAACGATGAGTCACATGGTTAATGGAACCTGACAACAACAACCAGGCATAGATGTCGCCCAACTATCAATGGCCAATTGCTTAGAGGTAAAATTTCTACGTGTCCTCTTACTGGCCAACATATTACGTCAAATTTCACATTTAGAAGCATCCTGAAGAATTTCCATTGTATTATATGTCTGCCACAAAAGTTAAATAGTGATTGATAAAAGAGAGAAAACTTTTCTTCAATAAATACATGCTCAGAAACATACTTTGAGTTTGATATGTTATAAATCTCAATACATGTACGAGATTAAAATATACATTGACCCACAAATGATTGCCCTTCTACAGTATGACATCTTTTGAAGAAGCAGCAAATATGATAAGGTGATCGGATATGAATTTAGTGTAGGTCAAAGGCAATTGTATGTCATCTGTTAATAGGATAAAAATCATCTTGATTTTTAGGGGTTAATGAAGCATTCAATTACCGTTGTGTTATATGTATCTTCCTCGCTCAATTCTCTGCTCATTCCAAAATCAGCAACCTTGCAAACCATGTCATCATTTACTAAAATATTTCTGGCTGCCAAATCCTGAAATAATAACATTAAGACTCAGTCAAATTAAGACTTAATCTAACAGATCAAAATAATTCTAACAGGGCAATACTTAAGGGCTACCATTATGCTCTCACTGTCCAAATTTAAAAAATGCCATTGTTGAAAAAGAAATTTTTTCCAGATGAATACATGATAAAATTAAACGCAGCTGTATTTGCTATTCCATTGCAATTGCTAAAATTATTTCATATTTGCCAGTAATCAAATCTAAATAGTCTACTGGTATTTTTTTGGAAAAAGAATCAATCTGAACTATTTACATGCATTCAAGAGCGCATTCCAGTCATCTCTAAACGCTCTAGGCTCAATCTCAGCCTTAGGCAAACAACATACACACAATGAAAAATTGAGCTAAAGCAAAACATTTATTAAGTCCTGCTATGACAAATAACAGCGGATAACCCTGCTAAATAAACTCAGGGGAAATGAAATGGCTGAAGATCGCAGTCTATTAACCAGCTGTGGGCAAAATTACTATGAACATAACCATCCCATACTACAAAATTTATTTCTGTAACAATACACGTGAGAAAATTTTAAAAGGCAGTACACGGTTATCGTGCACGACGCTTTCGATTGAAGTTACCCTGTGGATGTAGCTAACACCTACCCTGTGGATGTAGCTCATTTCAGAAAGATACTTCATTCCAGACGCCACACCCCGGGCCATTCCTAGTAACTGGAGTGGAGTAAATTTACCATCGTTTTCCTGCGGAAATATAGAAGGTTGTGTTACATTTCGTCAGAATGGGGACTCAGTTAGCCACAAAAGACATAGAGTAGTGGAAGATAGAACGAACATATTTGATACAAAGTTAAAATTGACTAACATTTCGACCCGGCATGCAATGCTTCTTCAGACGCCTAAATATTCGCTATGCATGTATTGTTAGAAAAATGTAAAATAAATAAAAAGGAAGCGATGATAGATATTGGTGAATGGTTGTTTGTCAATAACTGACATTTCAATCTACAAATTAGTTTAACTACATACTCAATAACTAGTTTTTGCAACAATTTGAAGAAGTAAATTGAAATTTAGCATACTTGTAGAAAGGAGTCAAGCGATCCATTGCTCATGAATTCGATGACAATCAATATGGGACGGTCTAGAAAGAAGAGAGAAAAATTTGTAAGCATTGGCAGACAAACAGGGAGACGACGTAATATATGTGTTCCGGAACGACAGGAAAAATTGGCAAGATAGATTTCAAAGAGTACACAAGCTAGAAATCGGCTTGCATGCTCACAAAGCAATCTGCTAATCTATCAAAAAACCTGCAAAAGATATGTCTTCAAAGCAAATAAATTTGTATACCTTTAACGACCACACCCTCGAGATTTATGACATTTGGGTCATCAAATTGTCCCATATACATTGCCTCTCCCAAAAAGTCATCTCTTGCTTTCTTATTTGCATTTGACTACAAAAAAAGGAGAAAACAATTTCGTAAGTTTTTGCTAATAAAAACAGCCAGAAAGTCAGCTGCTTTTTCTAAAAAATTGATCTTACACATTCGGGAGGGTTTTCTTTGAGGATGGAGATTAATTTGCGGCGTTTACAGACCCCTCCCCTCAGAGAATATGAAAATGGTACCATTAGGCCAAATGCCACCCCACATTATTACTGAAATTTCCCTCTTTATCTTGGAATTGGTTGTAAGGAATTTTGACTGTTTTCCTCTGGTTGTTTCCAGACTGAGAAGACTCCAGAATCATTCTGAAAACGAAATATACACTCGTCCTTCAAGACTTTTACTCTGCTTTTTTCTTCGGATATAGTTTCTTATTCCATACTTTGACAGAAAATGCCTGACTGAGTTTTTGAAAAGATTTTGGTCATAAAACGTAATTGTTAGGTTATTCATTATTTTAACATTTTTACAATTTTTTTGTCCCTCTCAGAAATTTTGTTGACCTGCTAGTTCTCAAACGTTTGTCCGGTTTTTGTATATACCTTACAAATATTGTTGACAGCATAGTTTGTGCAGCCCAGTTGGTTTGCAACTTCATCGTATTAAAGACCTGGGGTAAAAACACTATGACAATTCACCCTGCTTCGTTCATATTTCGCGTGTTATTACATTGCCCATGAAGAATAATGTTTTCAGCTTTTAAAAATAATTTTCACAGTAAAGTTTCCCAGATCAAAATATTATAACTTGCCTGGTTGTTTATTTCGTCAGTTTCCTGACGCTATTACTTGATTTTCCCGCCAAAAATTGATTATTCTTTTTTTCTTAACCGTCGTAAGTAAGGGTTGGGCCAGTAATTTTACCCAACCATTTTGATACTTCGGAAAAGAGGAGTCTAAGTGTATTTAGAACCTATATTGAAAATGATTTGATGTCGCAGACTTCATTAAAATCTCAGGTCTTACGAAGAACATATTTGTCCTACTTGTCTACGAAAGATCACAAACTTATACCTTGAGTGTCTTGACGGCGACAATTTGTGCTTTTTCAGAGGGTTTTTCCATAGTTCCTTTGTACACATCACCAAATTCACCTAAGAATAATTTTTAATTGCAGAATATTCATAAAATTCGACAATTCTTTTTTGATTCTCATTCCATTATACAGCAACGGAAATTAGCCTACAAACCAAGAAAATGGCTTGCCAGGGCCTGACATCTAGTTTCAGGCCTAAAACCTTACGAAAATCTTATATTTAATACAATAAATTCATTACAGCTTACCGAAGACGTTATTTAACTTAGTATCATAAAAGCATTATATGTTTGAAAAACTAGAAGATTTAGTCAGAACACAAAGCGGAAAACTCTGCACTGGTATCTTCAACAGAAGACGGTGTCATATCACATATGTAAAACTAATAGTCGAAAATTATTTGTGATGAATCAAAGATAAGAGAGCCGAGGAAGATATCAGCAGTAATTTGGGTAGATAACAGACCAAATTTCAGAATAGGTTTGCACCTATGGCACTTGTCTTTCACCTGAAAAGTTTTTGTTTGAATCGTTAAAAATTGGAAATTGAAACGCTAAACCATTGAGGTGCTTAATCATTGAGACACAAACAAACCGTAGTTAGATTCGCGAATGCAAATATCAGTTGTGAGAATCTGCCACCAAGATAAAACGTTTTAAGACTTTGAAACTATCAGAAGAACCATGCTCTTAAACTAACTTTAAACCAACTCACCTCCACCAATCAGACGATCTAGCTTGATCCAGCTTCGGTCTAATTCGTTAGCAAACTGCTGCACAGCGTCCTCCAAATCTTGATATGTCGTCGGGTCAATATAAACCTGAACGCCTTTTCCACTTGGGAGAATCACTAAACAATGTAAGAGAGACATAGAGCCAGGTCGAACTTTGCATAATTTAAACACAATATTTATGAAAGATATTTTTCTCCAAAAAAGCACAATAATTGAAATCGTAATTGGCTGAAAATAGCAGTCAAAATGTAATGATTGAGAGAAACGATTATAGGAAGTAATAACTGTTATGGAAGTAAATTATCAACATTGATCGAAGATGCTATGGCTCGAAAATGGACGACTGAAAATGAATCAACAAATTCGCCTATGCGGAAAGAATAGCTTGATACAGTGAAAATTTCTGAGAAATATTTAACAGCGAATGTGTACGAACCTTCCCCGTTTTCAAGTCGAACAGGTTGAAGATGCTTTGGATGACGCCTTGATAAGCAGAAAAATAACACATTTTATTGACAAAGATACAAAATATTATTGAATAATAAAAATGACAGCTAATGATCAGGGAACTGAATTGACGGATATTTTAGGGGGGGGGGGGAATGAAAGGTGCTTGATTTCTGACTGACAAAAAGCCAATCGTAATTTTGCACTTAAGTTGCACGTACCTTTTATTTACAGACCCTTAACACTATACGGTTTTGTTATTATCTTTCTGAATTGAGAAAACTTCTTTTGGCTATAGCGTTATGCAAATTATTCTTCGACCGAAATAAGAATTGTCAGTACGACTTGGACTTTTATATTTCTCTGGTGCGACACTCCCACACCCCCACACCCCCACAACCCCACACCCCCGGACATCTACGTGCCTGTGAGTAATTTAAAAAATAAGTAAATCAATACGCCAAAAGTGATAAAAAAGAAGCAATTATGGTAATGGCATGAAGGTTTTGGTAAAATGAACTGAGCCATTATAACGAGAACTGGAATAATTTTTTTTTTAAAACATTAAAACTAACATAGCAGAAACGACGTACCTTCGATAGAAATATACAACGAAAGCGCCAGCAATCAACAGTAAAATAAACAATGTGACTACCACAGCAATGACCAAAGTCAGTGAAATACCTGTAAATAGAATTCCATATATTATTCATACGTCACTCAAGGTGACTATAGGGCGCCTTTAATTCAACAGAACTTACTTGCTGAATGGCCAATATGATAAGAAGATATCAGCGAAAATTAAAAGTAAAACACAGTACAAAGTACATTGTACTAGGCTAACAATTAGGTATTACTTGCTGCATGGCTTATATGTAAAATTACTAGAATATATCAGCAGATTTCTCGAAGATTCAAAGCAATAAAAGTACCAAAAAGACTGTGCTAGGCTTGCAATAAGCTGGACATATCATCACCACCTTGGTTAACAATAAGATATGGTTTAAGTTTACAATTCATATGTCACGGTAATATAATATGAAAAACTAAAAACCCTGCGGAGAATTAAAAAATATGACTTATTAATGATAACAATTTTGATTTCCACTGGCTAATACTTTCCTTTTCCTTTAATTTCAAAGCTGATAACTTCTTCTTTGGAAAATCCAGCGCTCGTGTGTGACTTTACCTAATTTGATAGTAAAAAATTATTTCTACGTTCTACACGAGTACATCTACATAAAGTTAATATTCTCAGTCTTGGTAGGGCAAATATATGACTTAAAGACTCTTTTTTTTTAAATTCAAGACATTTACTAGGTTTCAAAGCCTCAGTATCAAATAGTTGTAAATAAAAGAAGCATAAGTAAGTAAACACACATTCTCTCAAAGTGACAGGCCTTGTATGGGTAAACACACATTCTCGCAAATGTTTGTATGGGAGTTTTACCTAAAATCATTCTTCATGTAGGTTGAGAGACTTCTGTTTCTGGAAATTGGTATGAAATTAGGGAATCAAAACTTCATACTTACAGACACAGTGTACTTTTTCGTTTCTTGCTCTTGCTTAACAGTGTATTTCAGCTTGGTGGTAAACATTCCCTTTTCGCCATTAACAGTGACAAAATATCGCAGATCATCACCACCCTTGGTCAATGGCTCGTTCCAGAAAATTGTCACTGATCCATCAGAGTTTGTCCTTTTAGTAAGATTCTGAACCTCCGAAGGCACTGAAAATGAGATATGCTACATAAACAAACAAAATATCTGTTAGGATATTTACCCTAAGTAAACGAATGTGAAATCAACTCAAAAAAAGATTTGCTAAATAGCTCAACTTTCTCATTTCGGCTCCTATCTCAATGCACGGACATTGCTACCATTGAACAATTTTTTGAAATTTTCTAGAGTAAAAAATGTGTATGCGATAAGTTGGTACAGAGTCTTGCAAAAAAGAAAAACAGAATGTTTTCAATCAAAAGCTGACCATTAAAAAATCATTAAGCAAACAGAGTAACTCAAGCCAAACGTTCACTCACATCCTGATCCAGTCAAAACTAAAGTGCTGTTGTACTGAGCCTTGTCGAAGCCGATGGCAGCAGTGACATTGTTGATAGAATAGACCCTGACGTCATATCGTGTGTAGGCGCTCAGCCCGGTGACATTGAAAAGAAGGTTAGGTGTTGTAAAGTCAGGTGGAATTTTACATTTAGTACAGCTTGCTTTTATCGTGTAACTCGGTTTGTCTCCAGACCCTCGGTCCATTGGGACCATCCATTCTAGTAAGATCCACTTTGATCCAATCTGTGTGGCCTTAACATTTTTTGGAGCCGATGGTGGCGCTGTTGAAAACCATATTGGATTACAGTTTATAAGATTAAAAATGATAAATAAATTGGTATTAAAGTGAAAACAGAATTTTGCACATTAGAAATCAATAAATCTGTTTGTAAATCTTTTCATTCTCTTGCGTAAGAAATCAATAATCTTTTTTAACTAAGCTCACCTTCACAGTCGACAGTTGGAACACTTTTAGATCGAAGTGGCCTGTAATATCCATTGTTGCATTTACAAGGTGTTGTCCTGGGCTTCAGTCCGTCCTCAACATTTGCACCACATCTGGTACAATTAAAGTTACCAGCAACACTTTTGAAACTCTTTGCGGGACATTCTGTAAAAGCATGGCAATAAAGAACAAAAATTATCACCATAACACTCCTATTAATTTGATGAAGGAAAGTTTCAAGAAAATTGATGGATATAAGCCCTGGCCGTCTAAAATAAAAGCCCCATTCCATTGAACTTGAATATGACTATGAATATGGCTGCATTCAAGAATCTAGATTTTCTAGAATAAAAAGGAGTTTTATTACAATCGGATACTTATTGATCGTTGCGCTTGATTTAAATATAAGGGAAGATGACCAAAATATTAGTTTACCATCTTTGACTCTCTAAACTTTGTTGTAAAGAACAGAGAACGGTGGTTAAGTTTGTGTTAGAATGTATCATAGATAATGCAGTTGCAAGATCCTGAGAAGCTAGTTTAAAAGTTTCCAAAGTTTAAGCTCTTTGTATTGACAACTAATCAACGAGCTAACTTGCATCAAAAAGTTAATTCACGCTTTGAAGAGTTTAGAGTGAAGAGTCCAGCTTTTATAACAAATACAATAGGTAAAGAGGTGACAGAATACAAATTCTGGAAACTTTATTCCTTAAATAATTTCGCAAATGTTATCTTTATTGAACTGGAAATTTCTGGTCTACAAATAACTTACAAGATCCTTTATCAATCAACAGAAGATAAAAAATCTTTTATCATAGTGCTCATGAAATCATATTATTTAATAATGGAAACATTTCATTTTCAATTCAACCTAAACCACATTTATAAATCTCACTATTACAAGGTAATTTGCAATTGGATAGCCTGGTTTTACAAGAAAAAACTACAAAAATCGGGTTTATGCGTGGTTATGAAAAGTAAATTAAAAAGGATGTAATTCCGAGTTTATGCATGGTTTATTTTTGCGTAGTACAGATGGCAATGTTGGCAAGTTTGGAGATGAGATACCGTTTTTGTTGTTTATCGATGGAGAGAGAGTCACATATTTTGAAGAATGAATTGCAGGAATTGCCGAAGATGCCAAGAGAGCGCCGTGGAGAATGAGCAAAACGGAGACAATTTTGTGTCTGAAATTGTGGTAATGACTAAGGTTAAGTTAGCAGCGGTGGAAGAAACATAGATGGTGAGAAGGATAGTAGAGTTGATAAATAACACAGAAAGAGAAGTTGTTTTTGATTTTAAGAAAGTAGATAAACAAAGAATAGAAGAGGAGACGAGGAGAGTCAACAATGTGTTGAAATATATCGAGACCAAAAGTTTATCTGAGACAAACAAATTGTCGAAAGCTGTTAGCATCTATGATCTATGTAGGAGAAAGTTTGGGGATAAAGAACAAAAGAGGGTCAAAAATAAACAATGAATGGTGGAAGAGGAGAATTGGAAATGACATCGTGACACTGTACAAAGACATAGCAGTAATAGAAAGAAAGAAAAGAGGAGAGCTGGGAAAAGAAGGGAAATTCAGTTTCCTGCAGAATAAATATCTGATAGATAGAAAAGGACTAGCAGTTGCTATAGAAGAGCTGAAACAGAGTGTAGCAGCAAAGAAAACAAAACTTAATAGGTATGATCAAAGGATAAAGCAGTACAGACAAAAATCGATTATTCTATACAGATCAGAAGCGATTTTACCAGGAAATAAATGGAGAGGCAAGGAAAGAAAAGATTCTACCTAATGCGGAAGAAGGTAGAGAGTTCTGGGGAGGAATTTGGGATGATGCAAAAGAGCATAATAAACAAGCAGAATGGTTACAATAAATCAAGGAAACTGAGACAGACCGAGTACAACAGGACATGCATATTTCTAAGGTTGAAGTAAAAGACCAATGCAAAAAGATGCCAAATTAGACAGCTCCTGGACCTGATGGAGTGCAGGGATTCTGGGTGAAAAGCCAACAGGGTGCCATCAAAGAATAGCAAAACAGATGGATAAAATCTTGAATGGAGAGGAAGAACTGCCTGAATGGATGAAGGCAGAACAATGCTATGTCAGAAAGGTCCAACAGAGGGAAACGCCGTAGACAACTTTAGACCTATATCATGTTTACCGTTATTGTGGAAGCTCATGACTGGGATAATCGCAGAAAGCATGTATGCATTCTTAGAGAGCAACAACATTTTACCTAATGAACACAAAGGCTGCAAACGCGAAAGAAGAGGAACTAAAGATCAGTTATCAATATACAAAATTGTCCTGAAAGATTGTAAGAGAAGACACACCAATTTCTCTATGGCCTGAATCGATTATAGAAAGGCATACGACATGGTGCCACACTCATGAATCATCGAGTGCTTAGAACTATTTGGTGTCACTAGGAAAGCGGAACAGTTTATTCGTCGGAGTATGCCTCACTTGAAAACGGAATTAACATCTTGTGGAGAAAGGTTATGTCATGTTCACATTAGAAGAGGGATCTTCCAGGGTGATAGTTGGTCCCCTTTGCTGTTTGTGCTTTGTCTTATACCGTTAAGCCTGGTATTTAGGAATGTAAAAGCTGCATATGAGTTCAAAGATAAACAGCAGAGGATAAACTACCTAATATGTATGGACGATTTGCAACTTTATGGTAAAAGCGATTCTCAAATCGATTTTTTAGTGAAAACAGTACACTTGTTTAACCAAGATGTTGGAATAGAGTTTGGTGTTAAAAATGTGGTTTCTTAATCTTGAAGAGGGGGAACGTGGTAGACCATGAGGGAGTTATGCTGCCAGATGGTGGGTGAACTGATGAGGAATGTTGAGAATGATGGCTACAAGTACTTGGGGATCTGGGAAATCGGTGGAGTGATGGAAGACGAAATGAAGATAAGTTTAGAAAGGAATTTCTAAAAAGACTAAGATTAGTATTGAAATCGAAGCTCAATTGAAGTAACAAGTTCCAAGCAATAAACACTTGGGCTGTAGTTTTGCTCAGATATGGAGCAGGTATCATTAAATGCAACAAGGAAGAATTACAAAACTTGGATAGAAAGTCAAGAAAATTATTGACGTTGCATTGTGCCTTCCATCCCAAAAGTGACATAAACAGACTCTTATATCATGTTACATTAATCTGAAAAGAAAATATTGAAATAGCTAAATTTGACTAAAGGTGATTTAAAATCTAAAAAGTAAGAATTTTCAATTGTGATTAAAAATAAATTAAGATTATAAAAGTAAGAATTGCGATATTACAAACTTGGCTAAAAATAAATTAGAATTAGAAGTTATGTTCTTCTCTTTCTGAATCAAACTAACAGCCCCTTTATCGCTTCAGTAAGAAAATATTCTTTAGATTTTGATGGGAATTCCGCTTTCGTTTTTGAAGTTCTTTGGTATCTTGTTAAAAATATCAGCTGCACTGTTCCTCAAAATTTTAGAATTGGTTAAAGTTGCAATTTGTGGTGCAGAGTTTGATCTCAGATGTTTACTGTTTTCTTTCAATGATATGTCAATGTATCCTGCCTAGTGATATGATATCCTTTTCTTTAATGTAACGGCCTAGAAACAACTTGCAGCTGCATTTTCCACCTTTTGTAGTCGTTTTTGTAGTTTCAATGAAAGCGAATGAAATACAGCATTGACAATTTGGATAATATTAGCAACTTAGCAACTTGCTTTTCAAGTTTCAGTGACATGATATTTTTGAATATTTTTACTATGGCAAGAGCTCCAAAACAGGATGATGTTATCTTGTTTTCATGCTCTTCCCACAAAAGATGGTCTAAGAAAACACCAAGTAACTTTGTTGACTTTGCATGTTCAATTTATTGTTGTCCAATTTTTAGTGAGGGAGCAAAATTATCGAGATTGTGATGACGCGATAGTTGCTTTGTGCTAAGAACAAACATGAGTGCATGGAATGAATGAAAAAGAAAGCTTTATATATGTATATACGCTCATATATTAAAAAGACTCACCATTACAACTTGTAAAGGAATGATTTTCATATCCAGCTATGCAACGACAGCCACCATTTACCTTGGTGGAACCATTTGTATAACAAAACATGTAATTAGTCGCTTGTGAAATTTGAACATCAGCATTGGGAGCGCATGTTCCAATCACCTTTAGGACTGAAACTGTGCTGTTTGGAGCTGGAGTTTTAGGTGGAAATGACATAAATTCCCCAGCTGAGCTTGGACATTCTATGTAACTGAGTTGAAATGAATCAAGTCTTCCACAAATTCCTTGATCTCTGAAAGCAATAAAAAGTCCAGTCCTTCCTTCCATTCCAATGGTAAAAACTGATTTAAACTGTACTCTAGATGAAGGATTCATTGATGTGGTATTCTTTAAAGCAGAAATGTATTTGAAGCTTTCAGCACTTGGCGCAGATATTTCACCTGAGCCCAAAAGGACATAGACACCAATGGACAATTTGGTTAAACAGCAATTCAAAGTATAAGTTATTCTGAGGGTTATTTGTTTGGCTGGATTTGTAATGACAAATGGTGTTATAACGTAACCATCTACGACATTATTATCTAATTCACAAGCAGTGAACCCGGTCTCATCTGTCTTTAGCTTCCACTGAAAAAAAAGAATAAAATGAGTGTCAGATGATTTGGCGCCTGGTTTAAATTTATCACTTAGCATTAAAAAATAATGCACTTACTCGCAAAATATTTGTGCAATAGCGCAAGATTACACTAAAAATTTTCAAGCAACAAGACATCGGAAAGTAGATGGTCAGAGATACTGATGCAGATGAATGTAGGACAAAATGGCAGAAAAATTATACTCTAATGATAGCTTTTTATGTAAAGTGGTAGCTATTCACGTCATTCCTTAATCCCTAGATTTATCAACCCAAAAGGCCAACATTACAACAGCAACATGCCAGATAAACAAATTGGATTGCCAAACTGAAAAACGTTAAAAAATATAGAGAGCTTCAACAAGCTTCAAACGAACAATAATCAAAGATACATGCTATGCATCATACAAAGGGAAAAAAGTAATCAAGAGCATTTACAGACAGGAAGAGCACTTACGGTAAAGTTAGTTTCTAAATAAGTCTAAGTATCCTTGACTAAAAGTTCCAGCTGCTTATGAAAACAAAGCGTTATTAGAATTGGCAATCGCCACATATTTAGAAGATCAAATGTAAGGCTGTCGTGGGAAGATGATACCCTAATACCTTGAAAGTTTTAGCACCCCTTAGGCCTTGAAGGATTCTTTACCAAGTAATTGTTAAATGGGCAATACCCCTCGTAAGCTCATACATGCGGGCAGTTCTTCACTTGTGAAAATATTTTCACCAAACGGTTTGCCAACAATATTTATTAGGTTGCAAAAGTAGACCTAAATGGCTGCTCAAAGTAGAAAAAAGTCATCAAAAATATATACAATCTGAAAAGGCTTGCTAATGATAGTTTGTGGTAGAAAATGGATTTCTTTCTAAACAGAGTTTGAATTAAAGTATAATTATCCTGTTCATATGACTGTCTTGTTTTTTTGACAAAAGAAAGAATTAAGCAGAATTATGAAGCACTACTTTAAAAAGATTCTGTAACAAACTGCATAGCAGTTCATAAAATATTGGATTACAAATTTGATGAAAAAGATTAAATACTTTGCTAAAACCAAAAAGCAAACTGCTTTCAGCTTTATTTTTATGATGACTGAGAAATTTATGTTAATTAAATTTGGAACTAAAAAAGTATCAATTTTAAAAGGTGGCTCGTTTAACCATAAATTTGTTGATGGTTTGTTGAAGTATTTGTGCAAAGATAAGTGGGAGGTCTAAAAATAATGAGTCATTGTGGCAGTTTATTAGTTGTTGAGGCATTATCTTATTTTATGCTAACTGCAAAGAGATGGTTAATCTGATTCTGTTTGGATTGCCTGATAGGTTAGACTTTGAGTGTTAAAGCACTCTGCCTTTGAATAATGTTGTTGATCCTTACCCCGGGGGGGGGGGAGGTACTTAATATATTTTGCTGACAGGATGCACGTCTTTCCAGGTATCATTTCCAGCAATTTATTTTAAGGCCAGGTGTCTGTTCAACTGATAAAATCTAAAGTCGGTTGGATAATTTGAGTACAAATGTACAAATGTGAGAACAAACTTCTGTTACAAAATTGTCAAAATTTACATTGTCTTGATTCCAGCAAATTACACCCCCAAACAAATTTTAAATATGAGCCCCTATATAGATCATACATGTATTTGCCGTACTATGTAAATATTCCAAGTTTCTTTTTAGTCTTCTACATTCTACATAAATCTTCTACATTATCATAATAGCTGTATTGAATGAAAGAATATGGAAAACTAGAAACTGAACATCTTTCTTGATAATTTATTGATACTGTCAAGTTTGTATATAGGTTTGTTTAAAGAATGATTTTTGAGACAGTCTTTGAGCATTTCTGTGAATTCCTGCCTTCAAAAATTTATCTATACAGTAGAAATGAAGTTTTGAGTGAATTCAAAAATTCTAAAGCCGGGTATCATTTTTAGCTCTTTTTTCTAAAGTTGGTTCACAAAAACTATCTTAGGAGTGTGCACCCCCGTCGTTTTGCAATCCAAGTAAATCTTTCTTTCTTTCTTGGTATTGAAATTGAACAGTCAAGTAGAATATAAAAGGTTGTGGTTGCAAGTCTTTATTACCAAAATAACAGAAGGTCCTTACTCTAAAGGCGCCATTTGACTTAAATTAGCTGTTTGTCTCTTTTCCTCTATTATCTCTTGGTGGAAGAGATCACTTGCAATAATTGTATCGCTTTTTCACAGTATTATGTTATGACCTGTAAAACTCATTTGTGCATAGTAGGCTGAAGAAAGGACACTAAAGTATTCAAGCTTTTGAATCTGGTATCTATCGATTTCTGACAAATTTGAGGAAAATTTCAAGTTACACCTCCAAAAGAATTCATCAAAAACAAAAATTTTCAAAAATTTTTGGAGACAAAAACAAGCCTCTATTTCTTCAATTTTTTGAGAGAAAGCATTTTCATATTAAAATAATCAAATCTTACAAGCTGGATAAACTTAAAGCTAAAAACGGAGTATCCTTATAAGATGCTATGTTTAATAAGACATTTAAAAAAAGTAATCAGGAATAGAAACTTTCAGATGGCTATTTTTCATATCTTTGAAATAAAAAAACCAATGAAATGTCGAAATTCTTGCAACTTTTGCCAAAGAAGCGAAATCAAAATTCTGAAATTCACAAAACTTGAAAGAAGATGCTCAAAACAAAAGTGATCCCTTTAAATTAAAGCGTTTAAAGATATCGGAAAGCCTTTGATGAAATCTTGAAGATGTCTCTATTTGATGAAATCGATAATATAGTGTGGTTGAATTCCGATTTTACCAGGACAAAAATATTAAAAAGCTGTAATTTGGCACATATGTTTCATACGCAATTATTTAGAAAACACCAGGTGCAATCTGTTAACTGGTAGGGCAGGATTTTGAGGCCACTAGAGCGACATAAAAAAGATTCGCTTCTTTGTTGTCTTTAGACATAGTTCTTTGAAAGCATCACAATGCATTTCCGAAAGCATCATCAACTCAAGCAGCTGAGGTATTGTCAACAATACATAGTGACGTTTGCAGACCAATTAACGTGGAATCGATTGGAAAGTCAAAGTACTTCGTAACATTTATCGAATGCATCTCGGTATACCAGTCTTTGTCGTTTAATGCGTGCGATCGCACACGTACATCGGCACACGCATGGCACCAATAATGCGAGCGATTGATCGCACGCATGAGTTTTATATTTGACCGTCGTTTTTGACCTGAATAAAATTGTTTTCTTCAACGAAACATTGGAAGTTTTGTTTTTCATAAGCTGAGCAACATCGGCTTATTCTTTAAATAGTGACTATTTCGCTCTGTATCGTGGCTTATCGCTTTGCTTTGTTCTAATTCTCCCGGAAACATGGCGGTCGTCAGGGATTGTCCAAAACTTTTACCTTCCCGTTTTCTACATTATCGGAGTAAATATCGATGAAATTGCTCAAAAGAAAATTTGCTTTTTTATCATAGATGCGAGAGGCAGGCGACGAATAGACCCGCTAAAAGAAGATCTTCCGACAATCAAAGTTAATACCAATCTAGTGATGTGGATAGGAGAATTCATAAAAGGGGCGAGAAATTTAGATTTTCCGACCAAAATGTTATAAGAGCTTTTATTTTTTCAAAATTTTGTACATAACTTCACGTAAGTCGCCCAGCCCCTTGCCCCCCCCTTTATCTACGCCACTGTATCAATCAATATTTCCCTATAGTTGTCCTGTAATGTCAAATGTTTTTGGAAAGAACACAGCAGAAACACTCAAGCTCTCTGCAAATTGCCCCAGGGCCTCGAGGTGAAGGGGGCCTTACAAAGTAATGAATTCTGTTTTGAAATAAAATTGATTAAAAGTAACAAATTAAAGCCCATAAACAGTAAAACATTTGTAGCGAATAAACGAATTTAAGCTAGCTTAAAGGGCGTGGTCGCAAAAAATTTCTACGCTATAGCCCCAACGAAACGAAAGGGCACTAATTCTACGCTTTAGCCCCAGGACCTCCAATTCTTTAGGCGGCGGCCCTGCGTACAAGTTTGGCACCGTGACAAAACGGTCGCGGCTCGCCCTTTCGTTTGCGCTAGCACTCTGGAACCGAGCTAATTGTGCTTTGCCATCCGGAATGGTTTTGACCCTGTTACGAAAGAAAACGAATTTTGTACCGTCTCGGTTCAGTTTTTGAACAGGACTGTGTAAACTGGGACCGAAATAGCCTGATTTTTAAGAGTGTGAATCGCACGCATGAAAGAAATAATGCGTGTGGTTTGCCACACGCATGGTGATTTCCTTATGACGAAGACTGTATACCCACGTTTACTTCCTTAGGCAAAAAAGTGAAGTGCTAGAAAAATTCGAAAAATTTTTAAACTTAACAACCAATGAGACTTTGAATAAAGTCAAGATACTTCGTACCAATAATGGTGGTGAATATTGCTCCAAAGAATTCATAGAATACATGAGAGAAAAGGAATTATACATCAAACAACAACTCCAATGAATCTGGAACAAAATGGTGTTGCAGAGCCCATGAATAGGACAATTGTGGAGACAGCTTGTTCTATGTTACGTCATGCTAAATTACAAACTTCATTTTGGGCAGAAGCAGTTAGCACAGCTGTATTCTTGAGAAACCGCAGCCCAACAGTTGCACTTAATAAGAAGACACCATTTGAATGCTGGTATGGTGTGAAGCCAAATGTGTCAAATCATAAGGTATTTGGTTGCATAGCTAATGTGCACATTGCTGATAAATATCGTCATAAATTTGCTGCTAAATCAAAACAAGCTATAGTGGTTGGCTACCCAATTGGAACAAAGGGGTATAAGCTTTATTATCTTCAAGCTAAACATTTCATTCACAGTGGTGATGTTATCTTCTCAGAGAGAGACTTTCATGACTTTGATACAACTGTCTCATCAAAATCTGATCATATATGTATTGAGTTTGATGATGAAATGAATCCAGACGTTGATGGGAATGTTATAGAAGAAGTGAACCACAATATCTTGCCAGTGGGAGCAACATTTGAGAAGAAATTTATGAGAGAAGTTGCAAACTTGCAAGGCGAAAGAACGTGTTCTTCTGCTAAGCTGGCTGAGCAAGTCAATGAAGAAAATGAAAACTGTTTCAGTGCTGATATTATAGCAGACGAAATTGATGAGCCAAGAAAGATCCACGATGCATGGACTGGAGAACATGCTAATGAATGGAAAGAAGCTACTGATGCAGAATACTCATCATTAATCAAAAGCAAAACATGAGACTTAGTTCCAATTCCAAAAGAAAAGAATATTGTTGGGAGCAAGTGGGTATTTAAAGTTAAGAGGAATGCAGATGGCTCTGTTGGCCACTTTAAGTCTCGTTTAGTAGCTCAAGGGTACTCACAAGCTGAAGGAATTGATTACCCAGAGGTATTTTCACCTGTCATTTGATACTCTTCAATATGCTCATTACTTGCATTGGCAAACAAGAACAATTTAGAAATACATCAAATGGATGAAAAAACAGCATTTCTTCAGAATAATTTGGACAGTAAAATCTACATGAAGCAGCCTGAGGGTTATGTTAATGATGATAAACCATAATGAAAGGACTGTTTATTATTTGTTATGATATTTATTTTGTTTGGCTTAATATATCAATATACATTAGATAAGTGGGAGTGACAAGACATTTACTATTATCATGTTTTGGCTCATAGTATCATTGATTGACACTTTAAGTTTAGCCTTGCTTAGTCATGCTGTGAACATATTTTTACTACTCTTTTACGCTGAATACGTAATGTGGCCTAGTATTATATCCTTATCGTATAAGTTGTTTTGTTATGTTCGTTCAACCATAGTTTATCTTTCAAGATACTCTCTGTGGCATTTTAATAGAAACAACCTAGAGTGACCCATCTGGTTATTCTTATTCTATGATCAGACCAATGGTAGAGGTTATAAGGAAAGCTACCATTACAATTCCCACACATCCTGAAATATTTAAGTGTATATTCTATGGTGATTCGGTTAAACTCACATTATTGCGAACTGAAGAAATAGTGCCATTTTTGACTATCCTCCAATGTTCAAGCCCAGTCAATGAAACAGGAACTGAAAAGAAATGACAGTCTATAAATAAAAAAGCATAAATCATGATGATAGAAAAATACAATATTATGTCACTGATACACAAGCTCAAAATGAAACTCAGACATTTTTTACATAATTGGTACCAATTCTAACATAGAGCAAAAATGTTTGCAGCCGCTGTACAAAGAGCTTTTGCGCCTGCAAGCTGCGGCCAAATGACGACGCGCAAAAATTTTCCTGCCAACTGACCATGTGACACTTTGATTGCGATCCAGGCCTCCTTGGAGGTGCAATGTTATAGGGTTTTGTGTCACCACAACCACAAAAGACCTGAGCATGGCGGAGTGAACTTGAAGCCTGATCGGCTCAATTAATATACAAAATTTTACAATGTGAGTATGCCTCAAATATTGTCAGTTCCACGGAGAAATAGTTCAATCAAAATTTAAATTTATTTTACCTCAAAAACGGCACCATGCCGCATGCTGATTTTTTATTGATTCATCTTCATGCCCCAAAAAATAAGATTATATTGGTCGGCATATTTGGAAAATTGGGTCGCGTTCATAATTTCACCGCAAAGATACCTAACTTTAGGATTGTCAAATTATGGGTGCGATTGACTGATGATTTAAAACCACCATACTTTTTGGGATATGCGGTATATTCATGGAAGTTTTTCATTAAAATAGATTGGTTACGAATGTAAGTAGTTGTTTTTAATGCGATTTTGAAAGCGCTTCGGTATTTTTCGATAAACCAAACAAAACAAAACAAAATTTGGTAAGGTCAACGTGGGAAGCTTTGTTGGATATTTAAATTAACGATCTTGAAAAATTTCCACCATGCCGCATCCTGAATTTTTGTATACTTGTAGTCAAAAGTTCAATTTTTTTGTATTATGTCTCCTTCAGTGGCGGAAAATTGGGTAACGCTTTTAAATTTACTTTTTTAATTGTTCATATTTCCCTACTTGCCTAATAGTAGGCCTAGGCATAGGATACTTTAGTTTGGCAGTAAAGCATAGGCAACAAAGAGATTAAAAAGGTTTTAAAGCCTTAATTTAATGATATAAATGTATCTTAAGTAGATAATTTATCTATTGACTCCATAAAAATAAAGCAGAGGTAAGGTTAAAATTCAAAGTCTGTTTTCTCATATATTTTTATATCATTCGCATCCGGGACAGAACGACACAATTTTTGCGGGCAGGCAAATCACGTCAGCATGCGCGCGCATAAAAAACATTTTTGCACTATGGTACCAATTCTATCTTTCTTTTTTTTAGACCTAAACAATTAATTTTTCAATGCTCTAAGCATGTAAAATTTTCTATAAAAAATTGCAAAACATTGGGCACTTACTGGGCACAACATGAAATACAAACCTAGTTACTTTATCACTCAAAATTAATTCAGGTTCCAATTCTAAGTTTTACTTTAAAAGAAGGCTGTTTCAGTAAAATTGGGAGTTTATCAAATTAATTGTAACTTTTGGGATGATATAATTCACATAAAAATAGGACAACAAACAGGAATGCTGATGTAAATAAACAGGTATTAATCACATTGAGGTTGGAAAATCAATTTAAAGCATTTTCATCTTCCAAAAGAGAATTCATCTTCTAGGGGTTTTTAAATAACAAGATTAATCTTTTAAATCTTTCAGCAATAATAAGTATATATACAAGAAATTTTATACTGAGATCAAAAGATGATGTACATAACGTTCTTATCAACGACAACATTTGAAGCTAAACATATTTTTAGTTTTCTTCATAAATGGGGCAACTTGCTGATACAAACAGACTAAAAGATTTCCAAATTCTTTATAAAGACATTCCCTCATAAAGACCTTATAAAGGCAAGACAAACCAAATAAATAAAACATTTGCAATAAAAGCAATGTTGTATTTGGCAACAACACAGTAACTGCGCACCTTCTATTCCATTGGTAACATTCACAATACAACTCAGGGTTAACAGGACTAGGCCCAAAATGGGATGCCAATTCCATTTTATATCCATGACAGTGAAGCAGCAGTTAGTTCGATGCCACAAATATTGGCGAGCTTACAAATGATACTTTACTACATAACAATATCTGCTTTGCAAACTGTCAATTAGCACATCTCGAGTTGGTCCAAGATAAATACTTAACTTCCATTCACACCAGTCTTTCTCATGGACCCAGCTGCGAATAAGTTGAACGAAAAAGGCAGCATCAAAATAAAGGGCCTGCTCGTAACAATCAGTCAACGATTCGTGTAAAAACAATCTCATGAGCAGATTCTCGATTTAGGCCGCAGTGATAGACTAATGCATCGAAATCATAACAGTTAAGTTTGTATAACGGTCAACCAAGCCACAAACGGTAAACCTCTTGTCTTTTTTCAATACCAAATACACACAAGTCTATGAAGTTATTACTATTAAATGTTATTATATTTGCAATACGCGCCCGTTTCTCGACACCATTGAGCAGTCATCTCATTTCCATCCACTTCCTCGTAAAACTTTGTTGCGGGATTTCGTGAAAATAACATCAAGTAACACAATATTGGTGATTGTAAAAGAAGCATTTCCGTGTAATTGAATTGGGGTGTAATTTTATTCATATCATATCATGCATTTTAAAACTTTCGAAATTGGTTCAGAAGTAAGTCTATAATAATGGACGGTAGGAATTACGCGTATGCAATTTCAATGATAACACTTCCCATAAATATGAGTTGTTTACTTGTTTCATCCATCAATTTTAGGTAATTTAGTCATCCATAAAATAGTTTTTATAAACAAGTAAATGGAGCCTTTGTTGCATTCTATGAAAATAGCCACAGAGAACAACTCTTATAAAAAAAATCAGGCTGAGATTTGCCTGAAAATTAAGGACACCATAACAAACAAGGCAAGCTAAAATTCAACAAAACACAAAGAGATTTATATGAACAAGTAAGAAGCACCAGGTGTTCTGGAGCCAAGTGTTCTTATAAAAAAAGTGTATACACATATTTTTATAAGAATACTATAAACATTTTCCAGCCTCGATAATCTTAAGAAATTTTCGTTTTTAGCCTGAACAAATTTTCAAAGTATTATTTTTTCAAATCTGATTTGGTTTCAGGGTAACGTCGCTCATACCCGCATAGAAACCACGCTTTATGAAGAAAATTAGATATGCGAGTTATGCAATTCTCTCTGTCATCAAATCAACATCACAAAACAGGCAGCTGAAGAATGAAGGACGAAAATGGAAGCCGAGATTGAGCAATATTTTTATGATATTCTAAAAAATGGATGATTCTGGACCCTAATATTCTTATAAACAATATTCTAACATAAGGAAAAGAATGTAGCCAGAAAGAACACAACCGAATCACCGAGTAGTACGACATTTAATTCTACTTGATTTGATATAAAACTAAAAATGTAATAATCTTAGCATACCAACGAATGGCGAAAATAAGTTGATTCAGATATGGCACGTGAAAGATATGCCAATTAAGACAAAATTCTAATTATTTTGAACCGATACCGAACTACAGGAAGTATAAATAATATTTTGACCAAAATCTGCAATATATCCCTTACCAATCCAGTATACAATTGAAGTATCTAACTAAGCAAGAAAAAGTCCAAGAAGCCTTACGTTAACAAAAGATGTATGCTCATAAAAAGACTCTGCAGAAAAAGCAGGGGTGCCGTGAGGGGGGGACTCTTGGGGCTCAGCCCTCTCTTCGCAAGCCAGTTTTTGTTTAGTTGGAGGAATTCTTTACTTGGCAATTTTAACTATACTGTTGACTTTCCGTGAATAAGGAATTTCCTATAAGTAGTTCTACGTCAGTTAACAATTTGAATAGTTTCATATACACAATGGAGAAACTTTAACACAAACACAACTATATTGAGAGTGACGGTGTGTGTGGTTTTGGGCGTGGCCTGTACAGCAAAGCCCCCTTCCAACGTACGGCCTGTACAACAAAGGACACCCCCCTGTAGAGGTAGAGGCGGTAAAATGTACTTCAAACCCTTAAATGAGTTACATTTATTTTGGCTTTCAGAATGTTGGTCATCCCTCCCCTCTCTTAAATTTACTGCCATGAGATTAAAACCTGTTATGAAAATCAGATAAGAGACATGATCAACTCTTTTGCAAGATGTAAACAGATCAGAAAAAATATCTAGCTCACAAATTTCAAATGTGGGTTACCTATTAGCTTAATACTGTATTTTTTAGCCTCTTTAATTCAGCATCTGCATATTTTTGTTAAAGGTGAAGTTTTTCAGAGGTCTCTTAATGCGCCCACTAGCTAATGTTCCATTACACCTAATTTTGATAAAGTAGTATCAAATTTTACTATTACCCTTTTCGTTCAAATTTATCGTAGAAATGTTTCTGGAGATTGAATTATTTTGTTATATCTTCTTGTTATATCTTAATTTGTAGCAAAGCTATAAAGGTCTTTCAACTATAAAAAGAGGTTGAGAACTATCGAAAAGAGAGCAACGGTCCTAAACTCAAGGAATTTCCTTTTTCACGTTTTCTTAAATTGGTTTGTCGGCGATTCTCAATAACTCTTTAAAGATACTGAATTTTTTGACAAAATCAGTATTTTTGAAATCAGGATTTTCAAATTTAAAGAACAAACGGAAACAAAAATTTTCTTCTAAAAATAAAAGAATGCCAAAGTTTTTTGGAAATTTGGGAAGTGAAATTTTTGGAAAAAAACTTCTTTCCTTGAAGCAAGCTAAAATGCCCTAATTTAGGATCCTAAAATCACTTGAGATGTTTTGAATAAATTCCAAGCTCATATTTCAAATAAACATAATAGTCATTTTTCAACAAAACTGACACATCGTGGACTTCAATATTAACATATTTTTGGCAAAGAGTGCAAAGAGCTTTCGGCTGTCAAATACATTTACTCTAGTATTTGGTTAAGCATAAAAAATGTAGGGCGCTCTTCAGAAGTAGGTAAGGGGTACTTGTCGACAAATATGAGAGATGCAAATATGAACTTAACCATTGTTTCCGAAAAATTGGTGGGTTTCTGTCCCAGTCCCCTGAATCTCCTGAATTACACATATAAGACTTCTGATTCTCCTGATTCTGTGCGCACATAGAAAACATCTAGACCAATTTTCACGTATGTTTGTCACTGGCATCCCGCCCCTTCACCAGAGACAAAGGTTCCCATCTTCGTAGCATCCAATCTAGTATCTATCGCATAACGAAAATGATTTACTTCATCTTCAAGTTTAATAGCTTTGTTGAATATTGAAAGGAGATACATTTAGACGTTCATCGCAACAGCTGTATGTAGGAGTGTATGAAGTACTGATCAATGAAACTTCGCGGGCAACACAACTTTATTCGAAGCTAACAAAGCGTCTCAAGTGTATTCCGGTATGAATATGGCTGTCACTGGGACTCCCTCTCCTCTTCAGAGACAAAAGTTTCTGTAGCGTCCAATCTAGTAAGTATCGCATTAACCAAACTGATTCCTTTAACTTCATATTCAAGTTTAATAGCTTTCTTGTATAGTGAAAGGATATATATTGCAACATACCGCCTTGTCACAACCGATTCCTCGTGTTTCAGCAACTCCGGACTCCGGATCCACTTATCAATCGTGCAACGAATGTCCTTAAATTTTGGTCTTTTAACGCGATCTTTGTGCCAGCAAGATAACATAAGATCGTGCACACCTTTAGGGCAGCTCTGCAAGAGATTCAATCGTAAGCAGCTGCTTTTTAAGTATTCACTTGAGTAAAAAACAGCAATAGTTGCGTTGATGAACTCAAAGACATTAAACAGAATTTCTTTGGTTATTAAAGATCTGAGGCCAATGTAAGTTTAGGTAAGGAGGGAGGGGCTAAGAAGAGAGGGAGTCTGGGAAGCAAGGAGAGAGTAAAGCGTTTCAAAGAATACTTCGAAATATCTATGTATTAGTATACCTTTAAAGTGCTGAAAATCAATAAGAAACCCATCCCCCCCCCCCCCATATATATATTTGGAGTAAGAAAAAAGCAAATTTCTGCGAGAAGGATCTCAAATCCCTAGGTTCTTACACGCGGGTTTTTATTCTACCGTGATCAAACAAGCTTGAGATAATCAAACACTGCCGTAAGGTTAGGATACAGAAGACAGTAAACAGGCAAACGAGCTGTATCCAAAGGTAGTGTTGCATTCCCAAATATACCATTACCAGAATGGGAGAACTACTTAATATCTGTGATTTGGATAACAAATGAAAGTTCATATGATGAGAACATATGAAGAAAAAACAAATTATTGGTACGAATGCATGTATTTTCAGCAATCTAGGGTATGGATGCATTTTCAGCAAGTTAATTTATTTTTCCAATTAAAATGTGTAGCCCAAGAAAGCAAGTTACATCAATTGTTGCCAACAGCTTTGTTAACTGTCTTTTAACCCTTCTGCGATAGAAGAAAAAAAATGTCTGTAGAATAGGCCATCAGTAGGCCATCAGTAGGCCATCAACAGGCCATCAGAAGGCCATCAGTAGGCCATCAGAAGGCCATGAGTAGGCCATGAGTAGGCCATGAGAAGGCCATGAGTAGGCCATGAGTAGGCCATGAGTAGGCCCGCAGATTTTGCTTTTGTTGGAAAATCTTTAGATCAAAAATGCTGTTGCAAGGAAGTCTATGGATCAGGAAAACTCAACTGCTTTTACGTCGGCATTGTAGTACCCCCATATAGATTTTAAGGTTTAAAGCAGATAAAGCTCGCAAACATAAGCAACGAAAATAACAAGGAACAGACAATGTTTAGCCTAGGTGTAGCCTCGATATGAAAAGAACAGACCATGGCATATTTGTCATATCTTGTGTAATTTATCAAGAAAAGGCTATGAAAAGCTGTAGTGAAGATCTATGAAATCTAGAGACTTTTAAACGTAAAACATACCATGGCGGAGGGAGTCTGAAGCCAGAAGTCAGACGTTCAAGTACCTAAAAAAGAATTAAGGCTTAAATCGAGATTTCAGTTCAGAAAAGAATGCGCCAACAGTCGCATAAAGAAAATAAATATTCTTCCTTCCTTTATTGTACACATATTCTTTGTTTTTAGACGTTGTTTTTTTAAAGTATACTGCTTAACTTTAAGATTTCTCCAACTGTTTGATTTACGTCTGTTTAATTGCTAAATCTTTCGCACTGGTCTTTTTCTTATTTGTATTCACACAAGTTTAAAAAACCTCTTCTGCTTGATTCATCTTTAAAGAAAAACATAACACAAAAACACAAACAACATTCCCGCTACCATTATAGAAAATGGGCGTAAAGAGTTTAAAAACTTAGGATCTTGGTGACCAAGTAAGGAAATAACGAAAGGACCCTAACTTCCATTATCGGGTTTAGAATAGTGACTTAAAAGTCATCGCAATAGAGTTCTGAAGTGATGACGTCACAAAAATCTTTTTTTAAGAATTTTTGAATTCTGATTCAATAACCTGAAAGATCATCATGAAATACCTCTAAATGTGCAAAATCAGGCAAATGTATTACGAAATGACAGAGATATGGCCACATGTTT